AAGAATTGTTTTTTTTTTTTTTTGTAGCAAAATCTCAGTGTGATCAACAATAATAGGTACGGTTCTATAATACCTGAAGTGTTCCCCAAACCAGAGTATTAGGAGCCAGGTGTAATGATATTAGATGTTCAATTTTGTTATAAAGAGATAAGTTTAGTTATTTAAAAAAGGGGTGGTTCATGTTGGAAATGAAAAAGATATATTTCTACATACATTTTAGTATCAGTTGTTTTGATACATTTGATTTTTTTCCTTTTAAAAAGGCCTGGGGAAGTAAATTCCAACTTATTTTGTCTATTTACTAGAATTATTTCACATAGTACTTTGTGAATCATCCCACAAGAACATAAATGTCTAAGGGTTTCAGTATGGTTTTCAAATATGTGCTTGTAAGTTGCAGAACAGCAGCAAAGAACATGTAAGCAGGAAGAAGGGAAAGATATGTACTCTACTTTAAAAAAAAAACAACAACCTTGGCCAGTCTACAAGGTCACTAACGCTCCAAGGCAAACTTAACTGGAAAGATAGAGATGTCAATACACTGCTTTAGAGTAAGCATCTTTTTGAAAGATCAACATATAAAGGTACAGCAGTGCAAAGCTGTGACTTGAGGACCTAGAGGTTTATTGGTGCTTTCCAAAAGGGAAAAAAAACAAACAGATTTGCTTTGAAAGGACTAGGTCATTCAGCACTTAGTCTCTGTGCTTGTTATTATATTAAGCAAAGCATAATAAAGCTCTAACATCAGTAGCCATTGATGGTGAAATCAAGGAACCAGAGACACAAATGCATTTTAAGTTGTTTCCCCCCGAGTGCTTTGGAAGACAGGGAAAGCATACATTAAAATGTTTGTGGTTTGTTTTTTGTTTTTTTTTTTTTTTGATTCTACACTTCTAAGTCACTTAGTTGAAATGTCTTTTTTTTTTTTTTTTTTTAAGAGTCATTTTGCTCTGGAATAAAACAAGGTAGACAATGCCCATTTAGAAAAAAAAGATTCTTCAATAAGCCAAAAAAAGGGCAAAAACCTGTTCATTGATAAAGCGGTTGAATGGTGTGCAACTTAAATATCACTATCTCCTAGTGACCTTATGAAGAACAGTAGCTTTTGGTGAAACTACTTAATAGTTTCTTATTCCCAGAGCTCAAATGTTTTGGAGTTCTTTTATCCTCTAGTATTATTTACTACATCTCTGCAGTGTGATTTACTGATGACTCCTGCTGGTTAATGATTATGCTGATACAGAGAATTAATTGAAAGCTCCTGGTTCCTTAACCAGAAAGAAAACTGAACAGCTGAAATAGCACGCACAGACCTACATGTGATGCTAAGGAAATCCATACATTTATAGCAGTGGTGATTGCTGGACAGATGCTGGAGGCTGCACTGTGTAAAGGCTTACTCTGATGCATTCTAGAGAATCCTCACTCACATATGAATAGAGCAGAGTAACCTAAAAGTCTCTTCAGTTACATTAGCTTTTGTCATCTAAGATTCTTCTAAAACCTAGTTTAAACTAATTCAGCTTCCCTTTAGCCTGTCATCCCACTGCTTGGGAATGGGTCTCTCACCTTGGTCTGTTCAACAGGATTTTACCTACTAGGGCTTACTATTTGAACAATCAAGAAAAATAATGCAAGACAACCCTTCTTTAGCATATATTAAGTGCAATTTAAAGGTTTGAGATACCAAATCAGTGTTCTGCAGACTTAACATCTGTTTAACCTAGTATCTTCCTCCACTCATGGTCAATAGCAGATGCTTAAGCAACATAGCAGGGCAAACAGGACTGGTATTTATTTCACACACACAAAAAAAGCCTCTATTGCTTGTAGCATGGGAACTTTCAATCATAAACTGTATTTTACTTAGTAGCCTAGTTTCTTTTACATCCAGACACTTGTTAAAACTGTTTCCTTCAGCAAGAAACCTCAACAGATTAGTTATGCAGATTAAGTATTAATTCGCAAAGAAATGTTACTTGCTTTTGAGCTGTTCCCTACTAGTTTCATTTCATGCCCTCTAGTTCTTATACTGAAGGATATTTGAATAACTGATTCCTGTTCATTTTCCACCACATCATTCTCAGTTTTGAAGATCTGGAATATCCCATACATAAGAATTTTAGTAGGTCTCTACTCAAACTCATAAAAGTAGAGGCAGTTTCAAAGTTAAAAAGTTAGCACAGTCTCAATACTGTAAGCTTTCTAATAGCAGTGACTAGCAACCCCTATGAGAATACTGAGAAACATGATTCATTTAACCACTTAACATTTTAAGCTGTGCCAAAGCTAGCATGTAAGAGACTCCAGGTCTTTAAGAAATATGTAGGCTAGAGAGATTCCAACACCCGTTTTTATTAATGGAAAGTGATTCTATGCAGAGGCATTCCCAGAAAGCAGAATAGAAAGCTATACTCTTGAAAGACTGATTAGACTTACGTTTTAAATCTTAACCATTCAACTATTTAGTTTGTTCAAAGAGTGAAAGCTCCTGGTGATTGCTTTCTTTGTAGAAATATGTTTCTAGTTGAAGTTTATGTTGAAATTTCAGTGGTAACAGTAGCATAACTATAATCCCATGAATCTAAACAAAGGTGAAGTGCAGCTACAACATACCTTGCTGGCCATACAGTTGCAACCGACGATTTCCAGCATCTAGGTCTGATTATCTTAATACTCCGAATTCTTAATTTCAGAATGAACTTCAAGAATATACGTGTGGGGTTTTTTTGGCCACGAAATAACTTAGGTTTTATAGTCTCGACTAAGATGGCCAATGACACTGAGTCACTCAGGGAATCTGAGGACTTGTGTTTGTTTTGTCTGTTTTTTAAAAACAGTAATTTGCTTTTCATTGGTATGCTTACAGTTAGCATGCAATGACTATTTTTGCCATTAGTTCTTGCCAGTCTTACATTGTTTTGTTTTAGTAGAGAGACCTGTAATTAATCTTCTTGAACATAAGGCAGAAGACAGGACACTAAGAAGGAATGGTTTATGCCACACATGCTACCAAGTCTAAAATTAAAATACAGAATTGAAGTCTGATAAGCTAACATAACCATGGGCACCACCTGAGCGTTACAATCCACCCACTTTGCAACAGAAGTTCTAGGTAGCTGCAAATAATGATTTAGAAATTCTGAGTCACAGTCAGTCTGTCCAACAAAACAGTATGGCAGTTTCAGAGGCCCCTACTGTTTGTCACTGCTTTGCCAAGAAGTAAATCGATTCTTTATCTGTTCCTAGAGCAGATGTTGCAGAACACATTTGAAAACTTTAAAGGCAATACGATACTGCCAGCACTGCAGTTACTCATCACTGGGCAATCCACCCTCATAGGGAACAAGAAAAAAAACCTGACACGTATGTGCAACTATAACCAAAAGTGAAATCTCACATCACAGGATAGTCACTTGGCTGAACTAGAAGAGCCTGGACTTTAATTGCCAGCCTTTTAAAGTACAGTTCATAGTTTGCAACCTTTCTAAATCATGGCCATCTTACCCACTGGAATATTAAATAGTCATAAGCCAGCTGACTTCAGATGCAGTCCACAGTCTGCTGAGTGAATAAAAGGTCAAGCAGGAGATACTGTTTTAAGGCCCCAGTACTAGTACTGACAGAGTAGAGTACACCAAACTTCAGAAAAACTAATAGCACTTTCAGGACAAAGCGCTCTAAACTTTCCCTACCGCTACTCCCTCACATCTTTCTGGGATCTAACATCACCCAGCCCTAAACTGCTGCTTATACCTGGGTAGAAAACACACTGACTGGTGCAAGACCTGTGAAAGGATGGACTAGCATAACTTTTTGGAGTGCTTCTGAAAGCCACTCCAAAAAAAGACTCACAGAATTGAAGGGATTGGAAGGGACCTCGAAAGATCATCAGGTCCGACCCCCCTGCCAACACAGGTTCCCGAGAGCAGGCTGCCTAGGTAGGCATCCAGATGGGCCTTAAATATCTCCAGAGAAGGAGACTCCACAACCTCCCTGGGCAGCCTATTCAGAGCTCCATCACCCTCACCATGAAGTTCTTTTGCATGTTAGTGCAGAACTTCCTGTGCTCCATCTTGTGGCCATTACCCCTTGTCCCGTCCCCACAAACTACTGAAAAGAGGTTGGCCAAATCCCTCTTTCTCCCACACCTCAGGTATTTATACACATTGATGAGATCCCCTCTCAGTCCTCTTTTCTCCATGCTGAACAGACCCAGGTCTCTCAGCCTTCATAGGTGAGATGCTCCAGGCCCTGTATCATCTTTGTGGCCCTCTGCTGGACTCTTTTCAGGAGATCCCCATCTTTTTTTGTACTGAGGAGCCCAGAACTGGACACAATACTCCAGGTAAAAAGAATGCCTTCTACCTGTCAGGTCATGAGTATTTTACTACCAGGCAAAAAGAAGAGAGTTAAGTCTGTCAGCAGAAGTAACTTAGTATTCAACCCCAAAGGTGGGCTCAAGTTCAGGGAAAAGTGTCAGGCCTTACCTAAGAGTTCTCAGCTACAGCTGAGGATTACTCCTATGTTGTCACTTAGCCTTTCACTTGGAGACTATTCCTCACTCCTCCCATCAGAATAATGTATTCCCTCCAAGAGCTGTAGATACTTCTGTTAGGTATCTAAAAGAAGTCCTACATTTTTCAGAGCAGGAGTAGTATTAAAAAGCTCCTTGCCTGAAGAAATTCTGTCCCTCCATTTACTCTTTGACGTTGATACAAATAGATGTTATGGGCACTGTAAGAGCTAAATATGAGTTTGTATTCCTTATTTTCTTACAATGCTTAAGGCAGAGAAAAAAAACTACAGTGCTAATATAGATCCTTTCAGTAATAGCTTGAGGTAAAGGTTATAATTACAGTAGCTCTTTAATAAGTTCCTACAAGTACTACTAGAAACAACAATCAAGGGTCAATTGAGTAGGAGAGGGACACATCAGTACTCCTCACCGGGGTGAACCAGTGTCACCTTGTACAGATCAGACTGTTAACAGGCATGGACAGAACTTGAATGTCACAGGAGACACTACATCTCTGCAGGTAATTTTAAGGCACAAATCAAGTAAGAGCATGGGGAGAAAAAGCAAAAGGCAAGTCTTATTCACCCATTCTCTCCTCCCCTTTCCCCCTTGTTCATACATTTTTCTCATCTTCTTTACTCACAATGTCATTGGTAATTCCATTTACTGGTAATTATCATTTGGTAATTTTACAAAAATGGCAGTGTCATGTTTCTTTTCACATGGTGCTACTAACTTTCATAGCTGTGAAAGAAGGCCCGGTGTTTTTGTGCTATGATCAGCCTATTTTGGTTATGAATAGATAGGTCAACAAGAGACCTAGTTTCATTATTTTGGTTCTATAGAGACATTTGTGTAGTAAGGTGCCTTTTTTATTTTTATTTTTTTAAATCACAATGGTGTGCCCTATTCCTTGACTTGTTAGGAAAATGACTCCTGTTTCACCTCTGAAGTCCATCTCTCCAGGGCAGGGCCTCCACAGGGAGCTCATAAGGGTCTCCACAGAGATCCACAGACGAAGAGAAGCAGGGGGAAGCATCACATCAGCTCAGTGCTTTAGTTTTAGTCCTCCAATCATACCTTTAAAGAATAAGATCTGAGGATCAAGTCAGTGATTGACTTGATGCAGCTTTAACTACATTCTTTACACGTCCAAAAAGAAATCCAGCCAAAAATCCAGGTGATGGAAGTAAGTCTTGCAGCTATTTCTACATCATACAGACAAACTGACTATGCGATGAGATGACACAATCCTACAAAGCTTAACAGGGCAGCAATAACTGACATGCACATATCCCTATCAAAAGGTTTTGTTTCCATGTATAGATGGAATACAAGCCTCAAAATGCACTTCTATTAAATTTATTATTTAAACAGTGGATGTTAGTTACAAAAGGTGACAGTTTAGTGTTAAATACTTCCATTTTAATAGCAGCACTGTAAGATGTATGGCAGTCCCCTTCAAGAGTGCACAGCAACTTACAAAATATACAATAGAGTTATGTTTATGCAAACCAATACATTTGCTTCCCCTTCCGCCCCAGTATTTGAGGTTATTTTCTCTTATAGAGGGACCTTCTTGTTCCACGCCCTAAAGAGAAGAAAAGAAGAATTAAGCAACACATACTAAGTAACATAGGTCAATTTACTTCAAAAGGAAGGTTTTCTTTTTTTTCTCTTTTCTTATTGCAGAAGACATTGGTGATTGAGATTAAGATTAAAACCATATACTCAAATTCCCAGCAAGGGTATATTCTGCAAAAATGATGCTGAACTGCAAAATACTCCAGTATAACAGATAAGCGTCTCACGTCAAGCTTGTAAGAACACAGTCAAAATATAGCATAAGTTGAAGACATCCAAGAAGCACCAACTATTGCTGGGACATATGCAAGAGCTAATTTGGGACTACAAAATTTAAGTGCTCTTTCCAAAAAGTGTCAACAACTGAAGGTTAAACATTGATGTTTAAGCACACAGACTTCAGAACTGACACCAATTTTGAATAACAGGACACTTCAGTGAAACTTACTGACACTGCAAATATCATGAATTGTAATCATGTTTAATATTGCGTTTACTTTGAGAAAACAGGGTCTTTAATGTATTCTCCCACTGAATATTCAAGGTAGTTTTACTACACCAAATTGTTCTTTCCCAGAAGGGAATCTGATTCTATAGGTAGCTTCCTGTATGTACTGATCCATTTCAATTTATAATGTTTCTGGATACTCCCACAAATGCACAAAAGCTTATTTGTTATCAAATGTATTAACATGATTCACTCTTCCATTATTTTTCCCCATCTTCCTCCAAAACAGCAACAAGTTCCTACTTAAGTTCTTAAGAATCATCTAGATACATTTGTGTTGCATCTAGTTGCATATTTTGGCTGTGACAGGCCTGTAGCTTGAGAAAAGGATATACTGCAAGAAGTGATACAGGACCCAATAGTTAAAAATAGTAAAACACTTGGAAAAGCAACTAGATCAAAGTAGCATTCCTTTTTCCTTAGGATTAAGGAACCCAGCCTGGTCAGTGTTAAAATAGTATTCATAGCTGAGCTGATGTCATGTATGCAATATTAAAAGCAACTGTTGAACATAGTTATTATTTCACAAATAATCCAATATCCTCCCAGTTCACAAACCAACCACTAAGTAATGACCAAATGCTTGCAAGATTCATTTTTGGAGCTTGTAGCCATATACCAACCTTTGCGTACACTGCTTTTAGGAATCTCCCACACTTCCACTTCCTCCATCTCATATCTTGTGTCTTTGCGTTTTAATGGGGGCTTGCCTATTCTTTTCTTCTTGGGTTTAACCATAGGCAGGCACTCTATGTAGAGAAACAACACCAGTTGTATCTTGCTAAGTCACGTTAAAGCAAATTTAACCTCAGCTTTCCCCACCAGTCACTAGGGCTCCTCTTTCCCCCCTCCCTGTACACACTAGTCTGTTCCCCATTTCATTGGCAGATAAAAGTGACATCTGTCAAGCAACAAATCTTGTATGTCTGAAATATTTAACCACTAACCATGATTCAGAACATTATTTTTTGGGTAACAATTTGGATAGGTATTAATGTGCCAGAAAAGAGCCCAGTGAGAGATGGCTAATTCTGCTTTAGTTCAACTTAAGGATTCACAACAAACTTAAGAGTAGTAATACTCTTAAGTAATTTCTAGTAAGTGCTGTTGGAACAACTCTAAGAAATACCCTTGAAGAGTTGAGTTTCTAGAAGCTCTACATAGACCTTAATTGCAAAGGAAAACATTCAACTGGAGGAGAGGAACATCAGAAGTATAGCTTTTTCTTTGTTATAGTAACTTTGACCTGTTCATCTTTTCCTGAACCACATCAGATAGTTTGCACTTACACTTCCTTTAGAGGTAGAACAATTGCTCAATACTACTTTTTCCTGAAGATTAACCAACATAGCTATCACACATGATTTCCTCTATATGTTTTACTCACCAAGATTAGGAGTTACTGCTGAGCATGAACTTGAGAGAAGCATTATCAAGGTGAAGAATTAATACTGTGGTTTACAGGAGCAGAAACTTCCCATGAATAAGGACTTTACCTGGCCACATCATAACATTTAATGATTTCCCACAGTGCCTTGAAAAAAAAAAAAAGGTTGCTATACTGCACCCTTTCCCATGTATGAGTTTGAGAACGATATGGAACCTGAGATGTACTGGATTGACAGGCCATTTCTTCAGTATCAGAAAAATGAGAACTGTTTTTATCTTCAAGTCTCACCAAAACAGCAACTTTACAGTGTTTCATATTATATCCTTTTGAATATTCCTTAAAACAAACATCCATAAAATAATGTGTACCTTGTTCTTTACTCATGGCTTGGGGTGAGAGACTACCATGTATTCGGCCAATAACTTTGGGTTTAGCACCGCTTCTAATCCAAAATTCTTCGGGTGGTATCACCATGCTTTCCCTTAACAGTCTTCCTAATAGAAAAAGTTGATGTAATGTCAGTACTGAGCTTTGCACATGTTAATAATATACTCTGATCCACAAGGCAAAGGATTGGCCAGAATGCAAAGCTAGACTCTCAAAATTAGATTCAGTGGCTGAGAAATAGAAATATAACTTTCTGAAGACCACAAAAATTACAGGATGCTTTTTACAGAATCTAAAGATTTAGTTAAAGCAACAGTAGACAAGCATTGTTAAAGTGACCTTAAGCTTTCCAAATGAGCAAGTCACCACTGAAGTCAGAAAGAAAAATATATTAGACTAAATCAAGAGAGGTTACTAATGAATTCTCTACTGATCACATTATGATTTTGTATCTTCAAACAGCAGAAAACTACAGCAAACCCCTCTTTTGCCTCAAAAATAATCCTGAAATCTCTGGCTAAGCCAAACCTGAAGCTGTAACATTCTCTGGTTTTCTTACAGGTTCAAGATACAGTTTGCAGTCACAATTGTGTTCTTTACACTTACAATTTACAAGCACCTTTTGCTCAGCAACTAGCTTACCTCCCAACACTTTATGTAGTGTTTGCTTATGTTCAAGCCCTTCTCTTCTTGCCATTGGCCTCTTTCTTCCATGATGCCCGTAGTCACTATATACAGCTTCATCTTGTTTCTCCTTTTGCTTGTAAACTACACCAATGTTTTCACCAAGCCTGCTCCTACTTTTTATTTTCTCCTGAGCAGGGCAGCCAATTATGTGAGCCGGAATAGCGTTTTTAGGTGGTTTCCAAAGCACCCTCTGGCCAACTTGTCGGTAGAGGTTTCCTTTACTTGCCGTCAAGATTCCATACGGAGCAGCTTCTTGAAAGAAATATTCTATTTCATCCACGTCATCATCCTCATCATCATCCTCATCCTCTTCATCTTCCTCTTCTCCCTGCACAGAGTATTCTTCTGAGTCCTCCACTTCTGATAAACTCTTAGCAGCTTTTTTCTCGAGAGAACAGATTTTTTTCCGACTAGAAGATCTAGGAAGGGCTCCCAGCCTTTTACCTATACCGGAAGGCTCTTTAATCTTCATAGTTGAGTTTTTGACATCTTGGCCATCCAAACTGTTCATCTGCTCCCTTCCTACCACTTCATCTTCATTGAGGGACCCCCCACTTTTAATTTTCTCCTTCTCCAAGCCCTCTGTACTTTTCTGGAAAGTATACGTGCTTTTCTGAAGCACATAGTCAGGTACAAAATAAGACACCGGGGCATTATCAATGGATGAGCCATCCTCTCTAGAGGACATGTCATCAGAAGAAAGACTGAGTATGCTTTGACGTTTTCTTTGTGGCAAACACACATCATAGTTGTAGTTTGTGTCCATATTATCCAGACAAGCCAGCCAACTGTTAGAGGGAACATACTTCTCCACTGATTCTTCACACCAAACACTTCTATCGGTTTGACTTTCATTGGTTGCACTGTGGCTCAGATTCAGTTTCTTCTGCTGAAAACTCAGGTCACTCATTACCTCCATACTAGATGGAAGTAGTCCTGCTTGTTGAATAAGACTGGGCTCCTCCTGAGAAGTTTTTGAGCCTGTGGATCTTTTAGAGCTAGATTTCTTAGCTACTAACACATCCTGTCTTACCACTGGCTGATCTAGGCTAACAGATCTTGCCAGTTCTGCTATTTGCACTGCCATGGCTTCACCTGGAGGAGATTTTGCCCGCTGACTTGTGGTCACCTGCTTCTCCACATCCAGCTTCACTTCATTATTTTGGACCTCTTTTTCTTGCATGGTTTCAACACCCTGTTTTGAAGAGAGAACAGCGTTTCTCTCATCTAGGTAAGTTCCTGGCACCAATTTCTCCCCTTCATGAGGGCCGTATATCATCCCTTCACATGAGCTAACGGAAAATAAGTCACGCTGCACTATGTTCTCTGGGACTGGTTTACCACTTGACACATCATACAAAGGAATAGTTTCTTTAAAGGACTTCCACAGTTGAATAGCTGGAGAGCCATTTCCATATTCTATTCTCACCTCTTCCTTCTCAAAGGCATAGCTTCCAGTAGGAAGATTTCTATACTGTGTAGAGCTGGAAGGACTATTATGAAACTCCCTGTCTACCACAATGGAAGATCCAGATGAATCTTGCTTCTCTGAAGTACTTTCAGTCTCCGTACCTATGCCAGAAGAAACACAGGCCATATTTCCTGCATCACAACCTTTCGTTTCTGTGCGGGTATCTTGATGCTTTTTTTGCTTGTTTTCAGGCTGTCTAGGATCAGTCTGTGTTTCTTTTGTCTCCGTTTTTTTCCCAGGGGTACTGTAGTGTCTAAATCGGGTTGCATGATAAAACATAGGAGAGGGTGAAGGAGCATTAAAATAAGACCTTCTGTTGATTCTTGCATGCACGGGATGCTGTGGAACAAGGAATCCAGGGTACTCATGGAGTGCCACAGAATAAAATGGAAAATATGGATGCCCACTTCGGAAGCCTAGGAAATAGGGATGGAAAAAAAAGAGCAAAGAAATATCCTTTTTCTGAAAGAAGTCATTCTGATTAACATTTCCTCTTTGGTTAACAGCTGCTCACATACACAGGGACTACTACAAGATCCGACAGGTTGACAAGTAAGACACTAACCATCAACAAACCTTGTACAGGAACCCAGCTTATCTGGACAGCTACACTTCAAATCAGAACTTGATTTTATTCCCTAGAGTATGCACCACTTAGCTTTCTGTATTTCTTTTTTCCTACTTCTTTCATACACTGTACTACAGTATCAATTTTGATAACACAGCTCTAGATAGAAAATTAACGTAAGTGTACTATTTGTGAAATGTACTTAATACACTTTTTTCAGTTTATATATACATACAACATATGCACAGAGCTCATACACATTAATTCTTAAACATATTCTAGAGCTCTGTATCTGCAGGGTAATAGATATTATCCTGCATCACAACCTTTCGTTTCTGTGCGGGTATCCTGATGCTTTTTTAGATAGATATTATTCTGCATAGCTTCCATTCTCCAGAAACACGTGCTTTCCTGCACACATAAGTCATGATTAACTAACACGTCACAAATCAAATCTTTGACAACTAAAACACCACATTAATTCCAGTCCAACTCTCAAACAGCTTGTTAACACACACATTCTTTTCCTCTAATCTAGGAGTGATTTATTAAGCTGAATGATGCCAGATAGCTCTCATATGCCTTACCTAGTGCAGGTACACAGTATGGATTATATGTATGGCTGAGGTACCATGGATTTGGAAAAGGCTGTTGTGCTGTTGGTTGTGCATAAAAAAAGGGCCTCGCGTGGTTTGTGGAACATGATCCACTTTCTGAAGCAGGAGCAGTATTCATTTTTTTTTTTAAACACTAAAAAAAGAAAATAAAGTGATCAGGATTAACCACTTCAAAACCTCTAAGGCTTGATGATTTTTATGATGTCAGAATTCAGCAGACACTTTTCTTCATAGCCTTACTTCTAACCCAGTAAAATCAGGTTCTCTGAAGAAAAATACTGTATACCAAATATAAAACAGGAAAATATTACTATTAAAGTCATTACTGCTAGTGTCAGAGATTTCAGTTACCCTTTGTTAAGTAAGCTTTTATATACAATATGCAATATTACTCCTTCAAGTTAATCTCACACCAAAATGTAAAGCCACCAGACCAGTAACTTTGATGTGGTCTTACATGCATACATACATTCATGTTAACAGTTTTTCAACCAGTTAAAAAAACACTAGTTTTTGGTTTATTAGGTTTGAGCAAGAGGGTTCAAGAACACAATAAATAAATAAGAACAGAGCAATAGAAGACTCCACGCAATTAGATTTACTTTATAAATAGAACATTTCTAGGTGCTACCACTGTATTTGAGATCAGAGTAAAAACTCAATTTATTTAGTTTTTTACATTAAAATACACTTAATAACACTAGCAGTTAATATATCCCATACATAAGCAAAGTGATAGGCAACAACAACAAATCCTTGTGTATAAGTCCCCACCCAGAGCCATATGATGTTCACAGAACAGAGCTCCCATAGTTAAGTATTTCATTAGTTAATTAATACACTGTTTAGCCTCCACCAACCCATGCAAATAGTATAAGCACAATCACACACAGCTTATAAGCAAATATATAATAAGTTTGAGGGCACAGTTGTAGTGGCTACACAGTCAGAGATACCTACCGAAGTATTCACAGAACTTAAATACTCTGAAGGTAAAGAGAAAAAATCTCACCTGTTCCGAGCTCAGGCCCAAAGGAGTTGCAGGAAGCTTTCAGGAACGCTGGAGCCCACTCCAGTTTCCATTTAGAACTATCAGCCCTGCTCTTACATGCACCCAAAACCCACAGCCTCCTCTCAGTTAGGCCAAAGCTCCCCAAATGATTTTGACCTTTAGGGAAGAAAGATGTAAAAGAAAAAAAAATAGAAATAAGAAAAAAAAAAACTACAAAAAGCTAAACTATTTATTCCTCCCCCATTAAAGCCCCTCAAAGCTAAGGTCCGTGCTGCTGCTGCTGTTGCTTACAGCCCAGCAAGAAGCTCCTCACCCTGCTCCACTCACCATCTTTATGGGAGGCAGCTGCCGCTTGTCCACTCCTTCTTCCACCTGCAGCTCGTTTAACTGAGATGTGGGGGCCCTTTCCCAGTGATACGTGGGAGGGAGAACCAAAACGCGAAGATAGGAAGTGCAGTAAGAACCTTATCTTGTGTGAAGAGAGCCAGCAGTCTCATCTTTCGGGTGTTTACATTACAACCCAAAGTCACTCTCATATATCCCCTTTATAATGTTACAAGGGGAAAAAATAGAGGTGTTAAAAGTGTATTACTGATCTCCTTAAGAACTACTGTTAAAGAGGGTTTCGTGGGGAAAAAGTCAGAAAGCACATGACAAAGTTTACATTTGTTTGCCAGGTTTATCAGCTGCTGAGAGCTGACTAAGGGAGTAGCCAGCGCAGCCGAGTAGACTGACAAATACAACATTCTCTCTGTGCAATATGGCAATAAATGGGAAGCATTTATATGCAATAGAGTGTACTGCACTGTGTATAATAGCAATTTATTAAACGTGTCATTATAATTTGACCCTGTCCTGGCCTTACAGGAGATGGGGATCAGAAGGGCAGCCGTGCAGGTCCCCATCTGTGTATGAGGGAGCACTGCAGCGGCCACAGGTCTCCATCCTTACATGAGGGAGCACTACAGACACCACAGGTCCCCATCTCTTCATGAGGGAGCACTACAGGGGCCACGGGTCCCCACCTCTGCGTGAGGCAGCAGCAGAGTGGCCGCCACAGCTGGGCGAGGTGTCAGCAGGCACAAGGAACATGGTACAGGGGTGGGCGAGTGCCTGGAGGAGCAGCGATCTGTGGACGCTGGCAGACGGCCTGCACTGAGGCTGGGAGGCTCTCCTGCCCTCTCCGTGTTATCTGTGACACTCAGCGTGCCTTGCCCTGCGCCCCGAGGCACAAACTGGGCTCGATCGGGGCCGGATCGCGGGCTGTGGGTCTGCCCCCTCGCCCCGCTCCTCCTCCCTTAGCCCGAGAGCCGTTGGGGCGAGGCGGGGCGGCGCTGAGGGGAGCGGGCGCGGCCTCGCCCCAACGGCCGGCGCGCGAGCAGCAGCGGGCGGGGCGGGGCAGGAGACAGGAACGGGAAACGGGGGCGCGCCGCCATTTCCCCCACCTCCCCAGCTGCGCGCGTGCGCGGCGCCGCGTAACGGCCGCGGCGCGAGGCGAGGCGAGGTGAGGCCGGAGGGGGGGGGGCGGAGAGCGCCTGCGCCGTGCCGGGCACCGCCTCCGCAGCACGGGCGGGACCGGATCCACCGCCCCCGCCGCCCCCTCCCCCTCCCCCCCCCTCCTCCTCCTCCTCCTCCTCCTCCTCCTCCTCCTCCTCCTCCTCCTCCTCCTCCTCCTCCTCCTCCTCCTCTTCCTCTTCCTCTTCCTCTTCTTCGTCCTCATCCTCCTCCTCCTCGCCCCGCTCGCTGCCCGCCCGCCCTGGGGACGCTGAGGTGGCAGGGGACACGCCGGGAGGTCGGTCCCGCCGGGCCGGGGGCTGAGAGAAGGGGCAGGGCAGGGCCGGGCCGGGCCGGGCCCCGGTGGGCAGGGGCTGGCGCTGGCGCTGGAGGTGAGGGAGTGGCTACAAACACCCCCCCCCCCCCCAGCCCTAACCCGGGCCCCTTCCTGCTCTCTTCCAGCCCCGTGAGGCCGAGCGGCAGCAGGTAGGGCCGGGCGGGAGGGGGCCTCCGGGAGGGGTTGCGCGAACGGCCGTGGGTGGGCGGCGGTGGTTGTGTGTGGGTTTGTAGAGGTGGCCCCCTCTTGGTGTGGGGTTTTGTAGGCGAAGCGCGGAGTAAAGGGTCGTAAAATAGCTTTAGAATCAGCCGGCGGCGTGCCGGAGATGTTCCAGTGGTTGTTGTTGCTACGAGCAGGGTAGGCGTTTTGCTGGTTGTGAAATGAGTTGAACAATGATTTAGGGATGGGTTGTCGCCGTGTTTAGCGTCTGCGTTTTGAGGTTTCCCCGCAAAGCCAAAGCTTGGCTTTCTACGTCACCTTGTTGTGATCATTGGGGACCTGAAATACTGTGTTCTGTTGCGAGCTCATCTAGGGCAACGTCTGCGTGAGTTCTGTTAAGATGATGTATTTTAGAAACCCTTAAAAGTTCAATATTTTAATATACTCCAATATGGAAGTTGTATAGTCTCACAATTTGGGTACAGGTGTCACACCTTAAATTATTGCAAGGATATGTTTAGCCTCAGTGAAAGGATCCGGTTATACTTTGTGCTGCATCCCTAGCATCATGCAGGAACAGAGAGAAGGATGTTGCTGCTTAGCATGTTTGATTGTTGTTTTTTTTTTTAGGCAGATGTTTTGATTTTGGTCATGTGATTGTGAAACAGACCATAATTGGTGCAAATCCAAAAATGTCTCTTCCTTAATTTAGTAGCCGTTGCACTAGGAGAATAAACTTTACAAGGATAAACAAGGTATCCATTTTAAGTCTCTAACATTTCAGGAAGTAATTTATGGTTAGTTAAACTGCATTAATTATTTTTCTAATTTCTTAATGTAGAAATACTTAAATTTATAGTTAAATAATCACTGAGATATGATGATATTTGTGGGAATGATGCATACTTGTACAGTGCAGTTTAAGTTCTTAAAGAAAGCTGTCTACCTTCATTAACATACTAGAGTTCAGAGAAAGAAAACACTTTCCTATACATGCAGGATATGTGGCTGGATCTTGCTAGAGACATTTGTGGCCCACTTATTTTCAAAGGTTAATTTTCCAAGACAGGTCAGGTCTTTCAACAAAACAGAAACACCCTTGGGAATGGAAACTACCTCTGCTCAACACAGAAGGCCAGTTGCCAAGTTAAGCTGCTGGTTTATCTAGTGCTAATTTTATTTCTGAGCAGGTATTTCCTTTAGTGTATAACTTCCTTTAGGAGCAGAAAAACAGGAAAGAAACAGGTACTGAGGAGTGCATTGCGACCAAACATGTTGTTAGCATGGAGTCTGGCACTTCCAGTCTCTAGCTTCTGTCCGGTTCCAGAAAGTTTACCGACCTCAAAGTTGTAACTTGCTTCCAGTCACAATACATATGGAAAATAGTATTAGTTTCCAAGTGAACAGTAGTTTTTGAGATAAAACCATTGTAGGAATAAATCCATCCTTAGCTTTTGTGAGAGTTCAAGGTCTTGCCTCATTAGAATCTCCTCAGTGTCCTCAGGTTTCTGCACTACAGTGGTATCAAAGATACCTTTGATGGCTTTAGAAGAGAGGAAAACTTTCAAGTCTGGAACTGCTTCATCAATTACCTATTTCATTTTTGCTGCCAAGGATGCAAATTTGATACGTTACTCAGGAATCCAGAGCTTCCAACTCCTTTTTCTTCTCTCTTTACTATCTTTGAGATTAGTTGGCTAGGTCTATTGATTTAAATAATTGATTTTAATCATTTTTAGTATTTCTATTCCCCTTGCCATTAGTTGGTATAATCACTTTGAAAACATGTTGATTTGTAGCAGCATGTTGTTCATGGTAACTGTGTATTAAAGTACCTAAACTTGGTACTTTCATTGTGCTCTCTACACACTTGCTGTGTAGTTTGGCTTAGGGGTTGTTTAGTTCTTAATTCTGACATTTCATTATGTTAAAAATAGTGAATGACTCACTTCTTTAGACATGTTTTTACTTGTGATTTTTGTGAAGCTGCACTTGGATGGGAATTGGAATTCGATTAAAAGTGCACAAAAGTAGTATTTAAAGCTTCTTATTAGTTAAAACGAGGTTAGAAAGGTTGAATGTCCAGGGAAATAAGGTGTGTATTGTTTTTTTCCCCAAACGTGCAGGCTTATTGAAGTGTTGGTTGTAGCTGGTGAAGTTAGTTCAAGAGATGCTTAGATGGTTGAAGATGCAGATAGGAACTGGTGAGGATTTCATAGGTCTCTGTGCATTTCCGTGAACTTCACTGGAAGTTAGGCATGCAATCTGGCAGACTTCTCAATGGCATTTTCAGAAGAAAGTATACTTTTTCTTTTTTCTTTTGTATACTTTTTTTTCACACTTCCTAGTATGAAAACATAGACGTTAACAATGAAACATCTGTTTTGCCCTTATTGCAGTTTGGAGAAAAAAAAAAAAAAGCTGTTTCTTGGTTTTAAATAAAAAATATGAAGACAAATTAGTCTAGTTGAGAAATATATCTATATTTCTCACTATTTTCCATTTATGTTGGAAATAGTAGATAATAGTTCAATTTATATTGTAGAGATGATGTAGAGCAACACTTTCATGCTTGTAGTACAGGATGTATCTCCATTTGTTAATCTTCCCCTGACCTCAGAAGACAATCAGGTTCAAGAAAAACAATTAATAGGTTTACCCTTAACTCAGTAACGTTTGACTAACTTTTGTAATGATCTGATACAGATTTTGAAGCACTTGAATGAGAGTTAAAGCCACCTCATTAAAATTATTAAAAACAAACCTTCTTATCCGCCTGTTACTTCATGATCCTCTCCAGCTTGATACGGAGTTAGTTTGGATTGCTGGGTAACATCTTGACTTAGTTAGCAGTCCAGTACCACTATGACCTTCCAGCAGCTACAATCTACCATCCTGTTTTAGACAGCTGACTTCAAAGAAGTTACCCAGGACAAAAATTCACTTATTAGAGATTCCTGATGAACTGTTCTCCTAAGAATTTAGCATGGTTCCACTAGAAGGGAGTGGGATGGAACTTTGGATTTTGTGACAAATACAAAATTCTGTTCTTTAGCAAATGGTTATCATTGGCAGCAAAATGCAGTGTGGATGTGGGAAGCAAGAGTTCAGTGCATTGCGTGTTCCTACCAACAGAAGACCCACTGGTACACGTCATGCATGAGAGAGTGTGACAGATCAGCTGTATACCAGAGTCCAGCTTTGTGAATTTACAGTTTAAAGGTGGTTCACATCACATAAATGTTCTGCAACAAGACTCCTGTCATCTCCTCAATCTTTTCTGCCACCAGGAGTCATACTCAAATGTTCTGGCCATTTATAGTAATTAATTTCACAGTTTCAACTTGTCTTCTGTTGAACAGGTCTGCTTTTTCAGTCATTGACTGTCAGCCACATTGCCAAAAATGTATTTAATCTTACTAGCCGGTGTACATCAATTTCTCCATGAGACCCTTGAATTGATTCTGTTACTTGATGACTAGAACAGTGTATACTGAAGTTTTGCTCTTTTTTTCCTGTTCCTGAAGATTTATAGTCTTTAAAATTACATCAGAATTGGAAGCTTTAATAAAAGAAGTCATTGTTACCATAGCGTAGTAATACGGATGTTTTGCCTGAACCAAGTGCAGTGCACCAGCTTGTATTGTTGAAACTTTACTCCTAAGCCAGGAAAAACAATGCTGTAGAGAGACCCTGGATACCAGGAGAGCCACGAGCTATTTATTTCTGTGGGTCTAATGCACTTAGGAAGTCTGCGTGTCTCCGTAGCCATATAAAGTTCAGTGTAAAATCTGTCAATAGATTAGGTTGCACATTAAGGTATTATCAGATGACCAGGATAGTGGTCAGTAAACGTACAGATAGGGGGTGTACTCATCTGGTGAAAAGTCGACGTGACTTGTGGCAAGTCCTTGCTTTGGATAAGCAAATTTCTTGATAGACATCTGGTTTATTGACTTCAGCATTTAAGTGCACCTGAAACTTGAAGGTACAAAGTCAAGAATTCATGCGAATATCTGTTATTACAGCACATAGCAGTCTTCCCGTTCTCTTCCAAATATTAACATCTTTTCTACTTATTTAACTGGCTTCTTGTGAACATGGGCTTTGATTTTTTTTTTTTAATATTTATTTTTCCAGTTATATAACCAGTTAAACACAAGAGCTTGAGATCACTATTTGTGCATATTCACTGAAAAAGAAATAGATCAGTGACATTAAATTAGAAGTAATTAAAGTGGTATTAATTAACCATATCCGCTTGAGTGAATGTTAGACAGCTGTTTTTAAACTGTGCTATGGGCAGAGCTCTGCTGAAACATATCTTTGATACGGCTGGCAGGGATTCACCTTCACCTTGCACTAAATCTTGGAAGTTTGTGTGGAATTTCAAGTATGTCATTTCAGGTAAAAGTGTATTTCTGCATTCACCGTTCTTCATGAACTGCAGTGATAGCGATGTCTTAGACATTTGACAAGTGTGTTACTAGTTACTACTCAGTTTTGGACTGTAAGAGAACAGTGCAATACTAAATTAATGTGGAAGCATTTGATAGATACGGTATTCTGATGGGCCTTTATGGCGACAATTTTACTGTCGTAACTTTCCCATTCTTAATTATGAAGATGGGGGTGGTGTGGAACCTGAACCCTTTTTAAGACAAGTAGAAATGTCCAAACAAGAAAACAGACTTGGGCAACCTGTGGTCATTGCTTTTATAATGACTCCAAGTTTTTTTGAATTATGCTATTCCAGCATCCCTTTGCTACTTCTACCTTATTTTTCTATTCCCCTGTCAGCAGTGGTCATGCTTACCTGGCTGTATTGAAATGGCTTAGAAGAGGGGGAAAAATGGCATGGGGAATGTCAATACATGAAGCCCCTCTGCATGGAGACGATGAATCAAATAAGCATTGCAAATATAGGTTGTTAGGATTTCAAACTCTTAAGCTCTGTTTCTGCTTGTTCTATAGTTGAGTGTCAAAGGTGAAACAAGTGGATTGACTATGATGTTGACTTTAGTTGGAAAATGATGGGATACTGAAGAAACAGCATTAATATTCTTAGTAGGCCTGGTACTGATAGGACTTGAATAGACAAAACCATACCAACAGGAAAAAAGTTACTTTTTTCATGTTTGTATTAAGCAGCTCTTTGCCTTGGTTGAAGGAAATATGCAGGTATACTCAGTGGGGAGAACTGGCTATCTCTTGGAAGAGGATTAGTCTTCCTGAACCTTGTTTTTCTCTCCAGCCTTAGAAGCTGTATGGACAAATTATCTTAGTTTATGGGCCTAGATCTTGATGAGAATCAAGAATGAGAATATGCAAACTCTTCTGCTTTTCTCTTTTGATATTGTTGTTGATAAATTTTCTTTCTACGAGAATTTTTGTGCAAGTAGTATGTACTTATTTAGAAATAAGGTTGTTAGTTACTTTTAAGGGGTAGCTTAAAAGGAAAAACTGTTTCTTGGACGAGTGCTAATGTCAATTTTATTTTCCTGCTTTCAGTCACTCAAGTGCAGCCATTGATCATGAGATGCTACCACGGAACCTACCTCAGAATTTGCTTTTGGTTGTTGGTTTGCTGCGTCATAAATATCAACAGGAGCCCTGCAGATACTCTTGAAAGTCTCTGAACAGATTGTGACATCGAATCAAAGAATGATGACCTAATGTAGGTCAAAGTCTGAAACATTGATTCAGCAGTTCAAGATAACACTGCTTTTTTTTTTTTTTTAATCAGTATCGCCTCTGAACGCTACAGATCTCTTGCAGTTTCTTCCCTGGTTACTTCAGAAATATTCAGCTGACCTTTCTCTGGTAAAAAGGTCTTGACTTTTCACTCTGGTCCTGGAAATATTAATGGAATACAGTCATGTCTACCCAGGACGAGAGGCAGATAAATAGTGAATATGCTGTGTCCTTGCTGGAGCAGTTAAAATTCTTTTATGAGCAGCAGTTGCTGACTGACATAGTATTGATTGTTGAGGGCACCGAATTTCCCTGCCATAAGATGGTTCTTGCAACGTGCAGCTCGTATTTCAGGTAAGTATTCAAAGCAGGAGCTGTTAATTCAAGGAAATCTATGGTATCTGGTTTTGAGTGTGGTATTACTTAATTGACTAACAAATAATGTGTTGCAGAGCATTGTAGAGAACAGTGTAGCAAGCAAGTCACAAACTGTCATTACTTTCCAACATCAAAAGAGTAAAATACATTTTCCAGCATCTTGTTAGATACTCAGGATAGATATTGTAGTTTTCTATAGTAAGTGCAAAACGAAAGTCACACTTGTGATGGTTACTGTTCTCTGGGGTGTTAATCAAATCTGTATAATTAGTAAATTTCTTACTTTTCATACTTAGAAAAGATTAAAAAGATGTTTGTTCTCCCCTCCTTCCCCCCTCCTCCCAAGGTAAGGTAACTAGAGATTATTGAGAGCTGGATGTGGTAGTCTCATTGTTGCATTTATTATCGGTACTTTCTTAGCAGAAGCCTCTGCTGAAAGTAGGGAGTGCTGTGTGAGCTTGTGGCTTCCTTTTCTGAATCATCTGTTTTTTTTTCTCTGCTCAGCAAAGAAGCCAGACACTCTAATCTTGCCTGAGTCTTGCTGTAACACAACACACTTTTTTTTTCCCCTCACTGAGATGCTGTTGGAGTTCTTAATCCAGTAGCTTCTGCTCCCTGGATGTCTTGATTTTTGTCTTTTCAAAACTTTTTGCTAATAAGATCTGAGAAGTGCTACTGCTTTTGTAGATTCTTTTATAGTAAGCCCTAGATGGGACATCATGCATTTTTATGCAGTGATTAATCATTCTTTGTTAGTAACAGTACAATTAATCTGCTTACCTGGAAGGAATTTTGAAGTTTGAAACTAGTCTTGGGGACATCTGTGCATATTCTGTCTTCCTGATGCACTGTGCAGTGATTCTAACTTTTCTTTCCCATTTCATCAGGAGGTTTACAAATTGTTTTCCTGATGGGTTGGTCTCCCTATACAGAACGCTTTTAAAATGTTGCATGTATTCTGTCTGTTTGCTTGTATTAGTGTGTAACTTAATGTGAGAAACTACTGCAAGATGAGTTCCTTTCACATAAGTTTTTCTCACTGCTATTGTTTTGGTTCCTTTTTTCATCTCAGATGAATCTGGTACAATTTTTAGCAACAAGTGTTGTGTGATCGCTAGATAATGATTATTGCTGTTGGCCTGCTGCAGATGACACTGTTCCAACAGTCTTAAATAACAGCCCCTGGAAATGTGGCCAGATTTAGTGTGGGTGGCTAATCATAAGGTTGGAAAGCTGTCATGAGTCCATGCAGTGTGAAGCATTAGAATATGCAGTCAAATCTCTTATTCAGATGTGCGTTTATTATTTATGGAATGAGGTTTTGGCACTGGCTAAAAGTAGTACCAAGCTTGTGGTTTTGTCATATTCTGTTTTTTCTTCTCTAGTTTGGTTTTTATAAAGATGCTCAGTTTCCTAAATTTAGCCTTATTATGAAAAATTGATAGCCCTGAAGGCAGCTGTGGGGAGAGGGGGAAGAACAGAAAAGCATCTCTTAATGATCCAGTCATTGTTTACAACTGCAGGCAGCTTACCTTCCAAATCTGTGCTTAAGCACTGCTAGAAACAGGCCAGCTTTGGCACATGCTGCTCAGTTGTGTGCAGGCACGCGCTAGAGCCACAATCTGTAACAGCTCCCCCTCAATTTCCACGAAGAGGAGCCTTTCTGGTACGCTTAGTGTCTTGTTTACCTTTAACAACCTGCCTGGCAAGTTGAGGCACTCACTTAGCCAGTGATTTCGCCCCCCCCAAAATGCAGGTTGTCTGAGTTAAGGAGATTGGAAGAGGACAGAGATGGAGTTGGGGCAGGAGGAGTGGTGGTGGGGCACCGTCTTTCAGGTATATGTGGAATGGCTTTGCTCATCGAGTGCATCTCCATGGTGCCTTCACCTCTGCGCCCGCAGGTGGAACTACAGGGTGCGCTCGCTGTCCCTCCAAACTTCTCTCAGGTCTGGTTTCCCAAAAAGCTTCACATTTAAAGGAGCTTAAGCTGAATTTGCCATATCACCACTACTACCAAACCTGAATTAATATAAAGGTCTTAAAAGGGATTTCAGCCATTTTAAGAAAATGAGCATGTACCTGGTTCATAGTACCAGAGTTCAATTACTTAACTGTGTTACAACTTTAAAAACAAACAAAAAAAAAAGGCAACATAATGGGAAATAGGTATATAAAGCATTAGGGAAGTAATAACCTTTTCTTTAAAATGCCTGTGTTTTTCAGGAAGGTGTAATAGAGATACTGAAGGGATTATTAGTTTTCTCAGACCAGGTCTGATACAATCTGCCATTGATTTTTGTCTACAAACTTGAAGTTTACTGCATAATGTGAATAGTATATAAGAAATATTTCACGGAGTGCTACTGCTTGCTCCATTTTCTGAGCTTTCTCTTTCTTCCAGAGAAGCATGCTTTTTAATGTGACTTATCTCAGTCCTTTCCATAGATCTGTTTCTTTTCATTTTAGAGTCAAACCTATCTTTATATGTATGAATAGCCTTTTCTGAAGGATATTTCTTCCCTCTTATTGCCTAACAGAGAAGTTTAAAATTTCAGAATTAGAATTCTCTGCTGATTAACGCAAAATAGTTTGCATATATGTAAAGTTCTTCTATAGAAGACACTGTGTTCCTTTTTGAATGTTTGGTAAAAGTGCTTTATCTTTATTACCTGATGGTGGCCTAAGGAAAATACTAAATACATGTAAAAAGACGACCAAAAAGACTGTTTACCTTTTGGTGTATAATCACTGAAGTCTTAAAAGTGATAAAGTGACTGCTTAAGATAAGAACCACCAGTACTTATTGTTAATATGTATATTTTTCTTCAGAGCCATGTTCATGAGCGGGCTAAGTGAAAGTAAACAAACACATGTACACCTGAGGAATGTGGATGCAGCCACGCTACAAATTATCATAGCTTACGCATACACGGGTAACTTGGCAATAAGTGACAGCACGGTGGAACAGCTTTATGAGACTGCCTGCTTCTTACAGGTAGGAGTGTTTTCCTCTGAGTGGGGAATAACTACTTCTCATCTCTGAACCATTTTTTCTTTAACTTGTTAGATAATCCTTTCTGTTTAGTCATTTCAAAATATTCACATTCAATTTCCTTAGTACAGAGAGTAGTTGCCTGCAAGATGCATTTCATGTACACATCCCTCTTTCCTTTATGGCCCTGTGGAGGGTGGAAGCGAAGCAGTGCACTTACCATGTTTGTATCATTAGTTTCTCAAGCAGCCATCATAATGCAATTTCCTAAATCTGCATGAATCTCTTAAGTCACTGCTGTATTTTTGTGCATGCCTGTGTGTACACACACAGAATATTCCAGGCCTAAACTCTGCTGTTTAAATACAGGTACTTTAACCTGCTGCTGGTAAGTGAAGGCATAGAGTGTATGTGGCAGTACTCAGTGTCTTTTCTCTTTGCATTACAGGTAGACGATGTGCTACAGCGGTGTAGGGAATACTTAATCAAAAAAATTAATGCAGAAAATTGTGTGCGTCTTTTAAGTTTTGCTGATCTCTTCAGCTGCGAGGAGTTAAAACAGAGTGCTAAAAGAATGGTAGAGCACAAGTTCACAGCTGTGTACCACCAGGAAGCTTTCATGCAACTGTCACATGATCTACTGATAGATATTTTAAGCAGTGACAATTTAAACGTGGAAAAGGAGGAGACAGTTCGTGAAGCTGCTATGTTATGGCTGGAGTACAACACGGAATCGCGATCGCAGTATTTGTCCTCTGTTCTTAGCCAAATCCGTATCGATGCACTTTCAGAAGTAACGCAGAGAGCCTGGTTTCAAGGCTTACCACCCAACGATAAATCAGTGGTGGTGCAAGGATTGTACAAATCTATGCCCAAGTTTTTCAAGCCCAGACTCGGTATGACAAAAGAGGAGATGATGATATTCATTGAAGCTGCTGCTGAAAACCCTGGTAGTCTTTATTCTTCTGTCTGTTACAGCCCACAGGCAGAAAAAGTTTACAAACTCTGCAACCCTCCTGCTGACTTGCATAAGGTTGGCACGCTCGTAACTCCTGACAATGATATCTATATAGCAGGGGGGCAAGTTCCTCTGAAAAGCACGAAAACCAATCATAGTAAAAGCAGCAAACTCCAGGCTGCCTTCAGAACTGTGAATTGCTTTTACTTGTTTGATGCACAGCAAAACACGTGGTTCCCAAAGACACCGATGCTCTTTGTTCGTATAAAGCCATCCCTGGTCTGTTGTGAAGGATACATCTATGCAATTGGAGGTGACAGTGTTGGCGGAGAGCTCAACAGGAGAACTGTAGAAAGATACGACACTGAAAAAGATGAATGGACCATGGTAAGCCCGTTGCCTTGCGCGTGGCAGTGGAGCACAGCAGTAGCAGTTCACAACTGCATTTACGTAATGGCACACAACTTGATGTACTGTTATTTTCCCAGGTCAGATGCTTGGGTAGAAATGGCTATGCGACAGACAAGTAGATGTTTTGCTTCAGCTGCTGCTTTTGGCGATAAAATATTCTACATTGGAGGACTGCATATTGCCAGCAATTCTGGTATACGGCTCCCCAGTAGTACTGTAGATGGGTCTTCCGTAACTGTGGAAATCTACGATGTGAATAAAAATGAGTGGAGAATGGCAGCTAATATCCCTGCCAAGCGCTATTCCGACCCGTGTGTTAGAGCCGTTGTCATCTCTAATTCTTTGTGTGTCTTCATACGAGAAACCCACATGAATGAGCGAGCCAAGTATGCCACTTATCAGTATGACCTGGAACTTGACCGCTGGTTTCTGAGACAGCACATATCCGAACGTGTGCTGTGGGACCTGGGGAAGGACTTCCGGTGCACTGTAGGAAAGCTGTACCCGTCTTGCCTTGAAGAGTCCCCGTGGAAACCTCCGACGTATCTCTTTTCACCTGATGGAGCAGACGAATTTGAGCTGGATGGGGAGATGGTTACTTTTCCGCCTGTATAGCTCCCCACTTAGACTGCACAACTGATTCTGCGCAGTTACCTTGAAATAAATGATTGTGAAAGAACAGGTCTGGAAAGAGAAATGTCAAACCTGTCCTTCATGAATTTTATTTGTATGCCCTACCTAACAGTTGCAGCAATTGAGTATGAATCAGTGAAATGAGCAGATATGCTTCCATTATCTGAAATACTATTATCCAATAATTGAGAAACATATATGTATATCATGAGCTTAAGCATCTGACTTGTCTAAAGAATTAATTTCTAGTTCTATAAAGTCTTGGTTCAGGAAAATTAGCTTCAGAAAAAGAGTAGTTACTATTTCTAGGATGATGTCACAACTGTTTTGAAAGTATCTTCCAGTTATATTTGAACTACTTCTGGATATTCTACTTAAGTGCTAGTTATATAATTGTCAGTGTGGCCTAATTAAAGGACTGTGCTGCACTTAATACTAATATCCATGTTGGTATAGTAATGCCATTAAAGAAAAGAAAACAAAAAGAAACAAATCCCATGGATCTACCTGTGGTAGGAAGGGTAGATCTTCCATTGTATGGTAACGTGCAGGGCGAAATGACTGCAGGTTCAGTCAAGCTGTACTATTAGGTGCATGTACTCTTATTTTCACTAACTTATACCTGTCTGTTTAGAATACAGGTCTTCCAAGCAGCTGGTAGTTTACCAGGTGTGGACTTAAGTTGCTGGGCTTGCAATAGGAATTGTCAGCCCTCATAGTGCGGGTCTATGTGGAGCTTTAATCAGTAAATGCCTCCACATTCTGTATTACAGTAACATTGGCTCATGTATATTACTTCCTGCTGCTGATGTATTTTTCCATTGTAAAACAAAGTTTTAGTGTGGATTAACCAGGTCTTTATTTTCTGTTAATTTAATAACAAGCATTACTGTAGTGTGATTGTGTATAGATATCCCTTAGCTATCAGGTTTTTTACTTTGCGGGGAGGGGGGGAAGCAACAGTTCAGGAATTTCCTGTGCTCGGCGTGCAGGAGAGCAGAGACTAGTGCTGCTCTGGCATTAATCCCAGGAACCACTAGCAGTAGCGGGGCACCGCCAACCTAACATGAACACAGGTGCTTCATGACAGACCTTACTAGCATGTTCAGCTGCATCATGTTCTGGCACTGTATTTTGAATGACATTAATTTATTAAAAAAGACTGAATCCAACTGAGTTTGGGTGTGTTTTCTGCTTGAAGCTGATACAGTTGTGCCCCCTTCCCCCTAAACAGCAGCATGTTATTTATTGAAGGCAATGTCAAATAGTTAAGCTGTGGAAAACTTGGAGGTGTATATGTTAACTCGTTATGGTGGAAATTACATGTAGGTATGCAAGTCACTCCGAGCGTGACACAAAACTTGAACTACAAAGATGGCAACATGTCTGCATTTACATCAACTTGTTTTGATAGCTGAATTGCTTAGTTAAGAGGGGAGAAGCAACTCAGGATCCTGCTGATGTTGCTTTCCTGTAACCCGGCCTGTGATTAGAACAGATTACTGCTTTGTCGTGCAGGTTTGCGAATCACCTACCTCAGGCACGAATACTGGGGGGATCTTGGCAACTCCAGCCATTAATGCTGGAGATTGTTCTCCCATAGGCCTACTTTATCAAGCTGTACCACAACAGGTCAGGCTTTACGACACGCCTAAATTCAAGTGCAGATGATCTACAGCTACTGAAGGGTGTGTTCTGTTACTGAGAACTTCCAACTTGAGTTTAAAAGCTTGTACATGATTTCTTACAAAAACAAGTGAGGTAACTGCTCCTTACTCACCTACTTCCTAAGTCACAGCTGCTTGATAAGTACCTGGAAGAACTATCCTTCATTGTATACATCTGAAAACAAAGTGTAAAATATAGAAGATCTACATGACTTCCTGTTACTCTGCATTTTATACTATTTAGAACAGTTTGCTGGTGTAAGGCCATGTAGCGTAGTACCTTATGTAAAATTAACTGTAATAATACAGTACTTAAGGACAAGACTTGCCAAGTGTCTAAGAGGGCTCTAGTGACTTTGTGTAAGACATACTATTAGTTCACTTACACAACTAGCTGCCGCAGTCAGTATTTGACCCCCAAAGGAAAACAGCTGGCAAATGCTAGTCTGAAGTCTGAATTCCTTCCTTTCATCATTTGAGAAGGAAACTCTGCAGGCTAAGCATTGTCATGTGCCGGGAAATGGCCACTAGTGGTAAATTAGAGAAAAACTTCTGTGAGAACAAAAACAGCTGAAAAAATGCAGTTCTCATTTTATAAATAGAGCAAAGATGATTAAAGCCTTCAAAGACTTCTAAAATAGTATCTCACTACAAAGCTTCCGCCTAATGTTAGCCTATTCAACCTGTACTTGACTTTGAAGTCCATTTACATACACGTTTTAATGACAGCTTCACATGTCCTCAAGCTTTGCTATGTTCACAAGGAGTTTGTTTCTTTTCTGGTAGAAATACTTTAAAGTCCCCTGTAAAGTTCCCCCTACCTGAAGTAATAAAAAGAGGATATTTTTAATATTTTTAGTGCATCCACAGTTTAACTATGTACCTGAGTTGCAAATTTAATTTTTGTTCTAGGGGGAATAGTCAAAATTAGGGCAGTTTATTGTGTCAAGGTGATGGAGAACAGAAGATGGGTAAGTTGACTTTTAGGAACAATGACTTGATAAAACTTTAAAGGTAATTAAAAAGTTTTAAAGCACTACCTGGTACTTCATATCATTTCTTCTTCTACTTCTCAATGCTTCTGAAAAGCTGCGCTAGCTCCCTCCACATTGCAGTAGTGCTGAGTAACACCCGTGGACACAACTTAGCAGCAGCAGGACAGTGCTGCTCCTGCTCTGCTTCCATGTACAGCTACCTTCTGGAATTTCCTCTTTTTGGATCTGGATTCCTACAGGAAAGGAGCTTTACCTTGGGCAGGCTCTGGAGCAGGTTTGCCCTTTAAACTAAACCTTTTTGTTGGTGCAGCAAAGCTGTCCAAGCGCTGTAGATACACCACTGCTGAAGTATGACTGCTCACCTGAAGCATTAAGTGAATTAATTCCCTAAAATGTTAAACAGTGTACTGAATACAGACATGCATTCCTTGGCACCTCTAATGCATCACTATGTGTCAAGATCCAGAAAGCAGGACAAAAATTTTTTAAAAGTGCTAAAAAGATAGTGATATAACATCTAGTCAATTCAAAATAAATGCTAGACATCAAGCTAAATCTTCATGCTGAAATTTTATTTAGGAAGCACAGGAGGTATTGCTAGCTAATTTAATTCTGAGCACGTGTTCTTATCAAAGGGAAAAAATTGAGAAAGGATTTCCACCATTTAAGCGGACATACTTATTTTTTGGGGCACAGCATTACGAAACTCATACATGCAATTTATCAAGAGCAGCAAAGGTCTATAACCACATCTGGTATTAGACATTCACCTCAGCCTTTTCTGCCACTTCCTGATACACCTCTGCTTTTCAAGTCCTGCACCGTGTTTCTGTGTGCATTTTGTAAAGTCTTTGAATTTAGAGGTAAGAGAGCAACTGGGTTTGCTTCTTAGGTATTTTCCATCTGTTTCCGGTAGTATCAAGTGGTACTATCCCCACAAGGTTCTTATGACAAGAAAACAACTCTGTATCTGCCTTCACATTAGGTAAGCGTTCTTCATTCAATCTAAACGTTCTTGATTTTCTTAATGTTCACCTCATCTAGAAACCACTCCTACCTCCTCAGTGATCTAGAAAAAGACAAGAAAAGAGGATTTTGTACGTGTTTGTACTCGATGATCCTTGTGGGTCCCTTCTAATTTAGGATATTCTATGATTCTGTAGTTCTTTGCTACTACTGAGGAAAACAGTAATTATGCTTTCATCAATATTAGTAAATTTAGGCTACATAACAACAACAACAAAAATCTATCAATTGTCTATAATTAGGAAACTTTGAAACCTTACAGAAATAAAGGACTCAACAAGATAGCTTAATCTTGGCTGTAGTAAGACTTGGAAGTCTAGCTGTCTGTGCAGATGTCACACACATGCATCGTGTCTCCTTACGGGGAACAAAATAAGGAGAGCAAGTTTACCACTTCACTGACCCTAAAAGAAGTGATCCATCTTCAAATGTATTATATATAAACCTAAATGGTACTTCCAGTGTGTGATAAAGAACAGCGTCAAGAACAGAAACATCACACAATTAAAGCTCTGCACCTCCTTCCATCTCTCCTCTACTACAGTATTAAAAAGTAAAAACGGTGAAGGAATTCTTCATAAATCTTTAATTGCGTTACTATAATGTAATGTTTCCACCTTTTATAAAGGCTCTTCATAATGCTTTCTAGCAATAACTAAATGAAGTACAATTGCACTGCGTGAACATGATATGAGCTTATTTTTTGCTGTCTTTGAACAACTACTTGCATATGGTCAGATTTATTTATTTACAGTTTTAGAGAATTACAACATTTTTTCAGACATATGCTTTGTCTACTAAGTGTTCTTCGAGGCCATTAGTTTCCTCCTACTGCAACCAGTAATTTGTCCCTGTGCCTAGCCAACCATGATTTGGTAGTTCCGGTAGAAGTTTTCAAGTTCTAAGATAAACCTTCAACGAATACCTGATGATTGCATAGAGATGAACGTACAGCAATTAATTTATTCAGCATCCTGATTTTGACTAGATACTGCAATCCACGTCAACTATGCATTATTTTGAAACTAAACCCAGTTCAAAATTTTACAGTCCTACCTAAAGTTCTTACTGGTGTGAGAGATGCCGGCGACCTACTGAAGACTTTAACTTGATTCACAACAAGCAGAACCCAGAAGGGAATAAAACCTCACACTAGATGATACTCTCACCCCAAATTTGCAAAAGCAACTTCCATAATCAGTTTAAGTACAAGACAAGGTTCAAAAAGACTGACAGTGTCTTACAAGCAGCTATCAATACCAAAAACACATGCCTGCTAGTGTCTTCTAATGGGATTAACTTCTCAAATTAATATAGGTTTTCGAACAGACAGAGCTTTAAATAGGCTGGATGTATTTATTTTCAAGCAGCACAAGGAAAATCAAATACATTACTTGTATTTTCAATTATCAAGTAACAGTTTCTATGTTTAAAAACTGCATTCACACCTCCATTTTTACAATTAAATACAGCCACATTCGTTTCTCTGCTTAGTAATAATTTTTATGGAAGTAAGAAGCTTGTTTCGACAAAATACTAAATTTAATTACAAAGGTGCTTAAAACAGATGTACAAAGTCAAACAAATGCAATGTACTAGGAGAGTGATCTAAAAATGATTATTACATTGCTACATTTGAGGAAAAAGCTGTCAGATACGCACATGAATTAAGGTTATGACATGACAACAATGAAAAATGCTGAACGTTTTAGTCAAATGAAGTATTAGGTCAATTATACTTAATTTTGTGTTATTTTGGGGACTTGTAGCTGTGTATACTCAACAGGAAGTTCCTCAAATGTTGGTACCTACAAACAATGGAGGTTGATGCTTTGACGCTAGAAAGCTGAGAAAAGTGTTGTTGTATTATCTGTAAATCAGTTCACACTGCACATTATAATGATCAGAATTACCTTTGCAACATAACATTATGACTGAGCTGTAACAATGCCTTCATGGTTTACTCACAAGAGGCGCTGCCACCTTTAGTACTTTGTACTTCTTGCTGTGCAGAAAAAGATGTCTTTGAAATGAAAGTTGGCTGCTTAAATCCCTTTGAAAAAGTAATAATACTTGTATTGAGAGGGGAAGAAAGTAACTTGCATTCATACTGGATTTACCTGAAGAAGTCACAACCAACAAATAAAGATGACTACATGAATTCAGATGAAACTCAGTAGCTGCTATCCCTCCTACAGACCAAAAGCAAGTTTAAGCAAATGTCAAAGAGCAAGCATACACATTAATGAAGACAACTTATTATGATGATCGTCTCATCTCTACCCACTGCATGAGTTTAAATCACTGTCCAACCTGCTAGCGGGATGGTGATTCTTAAAATCTGAAAATGAATACAGGTTTCTTATTCCAACCTTGTGGTGAAACATAAAGGAAAATACTTTTGATCAAGTTGCATGTTTTGACTCCACAGATGGGGAAAGAGATCTGTCAAGTCTTCTTTACTATCCATAGGAGAATGGTGAAGCATTGTAGTACTGGCCCTACACAGAGCAGCAAGCAGCCATCAGCTTTGCAATGCAGAGGGCACCTTATTCTGCCTTTCCTCAGCTGAATCAAAAATGCAAAAAGAAAAAAAAGCCACTCAGTTTTCTAAAATTGCTGGATCAGCAAGGGAGTTTGTGGGAGTGAGGGAAATGCAGAGAACTAACAAATCAGCTGTACAAATCTGGGGCAAAGGAGAACTCTACAGAACAGCTGAGGTGAAGAGGTGACACAGGCAAGGCTATTAAAAAGGACCCAGTAAGGTCCTGTTTCTATAACTTGTACATGTGTTAACCACTTGTCTGGCCCTACTGTGAGCTCCTAAGTTTAAATTAAGTTGCTGAAGTTAATTTTGTAGGTGCTTAAATGTTTCAGATCATATTCAGTCTTCACTACAACATGAAGCCTGACCACTTAAAACCCAGACAACAGGTAACAATAGCGATTTCATAACAGCAAGTGATTATTTTCTTATCTGCAAGCTGAATCAGAAAGCTCTAGAATCATCGTGAATAACCGCATCCCTAGTCTTATTGCACCACAGGTCTTCCTACAAGTATTTCTTAATCTTTAAAAAGATATAATTGACTATTACAGAGTTGCGGAATAGAACAGAAAAGAATATCAGAAATTTTAGGAGATATACATATACACAGACCAGGAGCAATATATAAGGTTCTGCAGATACTTTTACTTGTATGTCAGAAGCAGTAGATTAAGTAGAGCTTTAGGTGTCCTTTTTGCCCTTTTCAAATGAAGCTACTCAAATCAGCTGTGTACTTTCAGGTTTTCCATGGCTGTTCTATCTAACTTGTCCTGGAAAAAATTAATTAACACTTTAAAAAAGATCTTGTCTTTCTGAATCACTACTTGAAGCACTAAAACTGAAATTTACATTGCTGGAGATGGAACTATGTGATGCAAGTTTGACTTTCCTGTTAGCTTTTCAAATGCACCTGAAGAAATCAGAACTTCTTAAAAGAAATTACATTAGAACCTTCTTATTTATTTATCTCTTGTACAGCTATTTTATTTGAGGAATAGAAGAAATAACTTTGACTTGAAATCTTGGCCCTGGAAAAGAAAATTGCAGAACACTAATAAATACTGATGAGGGAATAAACAGAGAGCCTTCCAATACTGGAAGGTTGGAATACTTGATGATGTAATGTAGGAAATGTTAACAGCTATCACGTGGGGATGTTAGAAGGCATAGACACATTCATGTTGCAAGGAACAGGAAATAATCTGTCTCGAGAGCACAAAATGTAGGATGTGGAATATGTTTGCATACAGAAGACACCACGTGCACATTCCATATGAAATACAGCATTATACCACATCTTTTCAAATAAACTATTATATTCTTTCATTCAAGGATAAGAACTGAGCTGTTTCAGATGCTCCCTCAGTTCTGGTGAAGATATGAAAAAATTAGTTATCCAAATAGAACATTCCCTGAGTAGACAAAGAAAAATCTGTATAGTTGATTTTTGTTTGGAAGAGTCTTCATAACTTTACTGGCAACAAAAAAATATGCAGAGTTTGCTACTGTGCTAGTTTAAGTAATTTTAATACTTGTATTCATATGCATGTAATTGCATTAATGGTGTTAATTATATCCTAACAGTTTTGTGAGGTCTTTCTCTACGGTTCAATCCCAATTTTGGCCAATTGTTTTCTAATACTTTTCTTGAAGAGATCTCTCCAACTGGAATCCTGTTCATACCCCAGGGTAAAACACAGCCAAAACATAAGCAAAGTTATGAAGGCCCACCACATAACATCAGGAAAATACTGATTTTACAATTGTTGTACAGATTTGCAGACACAAAGAGAGCTAGAGACAGATTAATTGTGTATGGCTACAGATGAGAAAGGAGAAACACCCTTTAGTCAGCCAGTCTTCCTCTGCATCTGGCTGATTCCAGTTTGTAGGTGGGACCAAAAAAGTGCTACCTAGCTTTGAACCCTTTAAAGGCTTCTGCACCTATACTTTTTGCAGACATTCTCTAAAACAACCTGAAGATGAATCAGTAATCATACTCTGCCTATTTATAAGAATTCACTAACATTTGGCTACTTGGATTGAAAAATATAACTACTTTACATAAATATCTTCAACATCCAAGAAAATGTACAAATCTAAAGTCAAACACATTTGGCTTGCAACAAGCCCTGTTTGCTAATATATTTATAAAGGCTCAGATTTAAAGAAAAGTAGTCATTTTAAACACAACCAATACACAGCAAATGCCATCCCATCGTATGCAGACACTCACCATTCTATACTTCTAGTGAAAGTGAATGATAACATTCCATATCTGCTTGCAAGCAACATATGCCTTGTTTTGGTCCTGGATAGTTAGTCTCCACTCCTATGTTTTGGAGCAGTCTTTTTACAGCTCAGAGAAACCATTGCACCTGAAACATGCAGCAGCACTGTGCAAAACAATCACCTAGTCACCAAGGCTTTGGGTTGACTGTGTAAAAGTGGAAAACCATGATGACATGGCTGACTTTGCACTTGTGAAGGCTCCTCCAACCGACTGACCTGCGTTGTAAAACAAAAGAAAGGGTTCATAGTCAAATAAATAAATAATTAAATGCACCAAACAACCAGTTCTCCAATTTGGAATTTAAAACCCAAGCCCAAATTATGTGTCAGAAAATATTCAAAGAACTTCAGCGCACTAGCTCAGCAGAAATGGCCTCCATTGTCCTTTGCCCTGGACGACTTGCTAGACATACTAACTGAAAAGCTCTCCTTGCCAGAGAACGCAGCAAAGAAAGTAGCAAGACATCAATGGAGTGGAAAAAAAAAAACAACAGGCTGAACAACTTTTGGCAAAGCAACTATAGAACAACTATAGCACTCTTATCTCTCCCGCTGGCGAACTCACATTTTCTTGCACTGGAAGATAACGTGATGAAGGTGCCCCTATTCAAGCACAACAAATACCTTCCCAGAAAATTACAGCCTATTGCAAAAACCTGCAGAAACTGCCACAAGTTCTTCCTAGGAGTTCAGTCAGCCCTGTATAGTTTCAAAGTGATATAAAAGTGAGAACAGCTCAATGCAGAAGATAGTGTTGTGGTCTAAGCACTCCTACATTACACAAAAGCTTTTAACTGAACATCTCTCTTCCTACCTCCATCTCCAGTCCATGCTGGAGGCGGAATTAACACTATTTTTTTTTGGCCTAGCTGCTTCTCTTTCCACTATTATGCAATATACAGGGCCCCAGTCAGCACCTTTGCCTCTCAAAACGTTGCTCTGTTTTGTATGTATATTATAAATTACACTTGGCTTAAAATGAAATAAAACTGAGATATAGGATGCTTCTTTAAAAAATGAACTAGAATCATAAAATCTCCTCAGCTGGAAGGGAGCCACAAGGATCACCAAGTCCAACTCCTGGCTCCACACAGGACCACCCCAAAATCAAACCCCATGTCTAAGTGTCGTCCAATTGCTTCTTGAACTCCACCAGGCTTGCTGCTATGACCACTTCCCTAGGGAGCCTGCTGCAGCTCCCAACCACCCTCTCAGTGAAGAAACTTTTTTTAACATCCAGGCTGAACTTCCCCTGTTGCAGTTTCATGTTTTTAGATCCAAGCTGGTTCAAAATAAGTTTCTTACCTACAGCTTTTCCTGTTTGCACAACATTTCTGCTAGTGGAAACCATCACGTTTCCAATCTTCTTTCCACGTTCACTGTTTTGCACGGAGCTAAACAAGAGAGATACTGAAGACTTAGTCAACTGACATTAATTCCAGGTGTACATACATGAAGTGTATAGTTAAAATAACTATCTATACACACACAGATCTATATAGCAGTATCAAGTCCATAATTCCTGTATAGGTTGCATACGTCTTACCCAGTTGGGCAAGCTTCTCTGAGGAAGATGAGACACAGCCAGCAAGACAGGAATCAAAATACCCAACATTTCATTTTTATAGAATGTGCTACTATCTTTCCTACCATTTACCAAAATACATATTTGTTCCACATTCCAAAACTACTGAAAATCCTGCTTTGTAAAGTTCCAGCCCTAACTATTAGCTTCAAACAAAATAGTGTTACTGAACAATTGTTATTCTTTTTTCCATGTAGAATGTACTTTGTATCTTGCCCTAACATCAAATTTTTGATGAAGTCTAGTTCACTCTCATACATTTGATTAAAAACGTGAAAAGAATAAAGACACTATGAAAGGATAAAGACACTTGGAAAGGAAAGCACAAAAGCAATCAGTTCCATTGCATGAGTGCGATGACTTGAAAATAAAATTTGCTTAAATCATAACATTCAAGTCCGCATTTCAGACTTTGCAAACTTATTTATGTTGAACTTAGTGACGTGCTGTGTTGTTACATTCTTGTCCGTATTCACGACTTTGTTTTATTAACTTGAATACTTTCAAAACCTTCAGTGTAAATGAAAAAAGCAGAAAGAACAGAGTAGATCAAGAACAAGTTTAGACTCAATTTGCAAAATATATTATTTTAAAATATTTTTTATAACTAGAGAAATTAAGAACTATAGAACCTTTTACACTCACTTGAGACTACTCAGAACAGTAGAGGAGTCTCTCCTTTCAAAAACAAAATTAGGGCACGCCAAAAATTGTAGATGCTTCTACACCTTTCAGATTTTTCAAGTCTTTCTACAAGGACCAGTCATTAAAAGTAAGAGCTGCTATCAGCAGACAGCTTATTGAAGGCAATTATCTTGTTACAAATCTTGATTTGTTTGCAATTCTCAATTGTCATCACAGAAATTTCATCTGCCACTAGCCAACAAAAGCAACAGGAAGCTTTGTTGGGCTGAAGTCTGAACCCTTTTTATTGCTCGTGCTGTTGCTCTATGTTAGCATTTGGTTTAGGTCTCCTCACAGTATACTGAAAGTAATAGTCTATGGTCAAGACAGGTGCAGAATTAGCAGCATGTACGCACTGCTGATTTGCAGATGTCTGACAGAACAAGTCTCTGATGTTTTGTGGTCAACATAGTTAAGTGAGAAAACTTGCTCTCTGTCTTGCTTGGTGCATAAATAAGAGATAGTTAACTGCAAGACTGAGACTTTTGTTGGAGCCAAACTGCTACAGAAATAACAAGCGCTACTGAGTTTTAGACAGCAAGAGCTAACACCACCTCAAAGTTCAGATTAATTTGGTGCAATAAGAGGTTGTGTAAAACTCATTTTAAACTTTTATCTTGAAGAAACTGAAGAGTCTTATATATGATTAAAAAAAACATTTTCTCCAAATAACTGAACCTAAAGACAACATATAGGAAAGCACCAATGAAGGCTTATTTTTAAATTGTAAACTAAAGCTATTAAAACACCAAGGACTTATAATTGCAATACAAAAATCAGACCTCTATTACATAAAGTCCAGCACAAAATAGTGTATGAGCACTGTTTTTCTCTATTTCAGACAAACTGTCCATCTTTAGATATGACATTTTTGCAGAACCTTGAATACAGTTTCATGCACATGGCTGATTTAAACCATTATTTTGTTTAGTTCATGATAGCAACAGTTGTGTAGTTATTAATATTAGACAAAAAAAAGCACATAAGCTACTAAATACTTACTGTGACAATCTTAACTTAACATCTGATACAGAATATTGTCCCTGGAATGGGTGGCTAGAAGAGGAAAAAAAAAAATGAGAAAAAGCATTAAATACTTTTCCACACATTAAAAGCATTAATTTTCCATTAAATAAATTTCCACTATTAATCCGCATCACAACAACTTCAATTCCTAGTTATATTCCTCTTCATAGTTTACAATAAATAAATAAAAAAATCCCCTTACTGTAGACACGGCATTGTATCACTTCACAGAAAGCTAGTTTATACTATTTGGTCTCAGGTTTCTTATGAACTAACATGTAAGGTGCCTTCCATTTACACATCAGATATTAAGAACCTTCTCTTCACACTAAGGCAGAGACACCTAGCAAGACAAAACATGCCAAGAAAACAAAACAAAAACCCTTAAGCAGACCAAAAGAGCTTTGCAAGTCTGAAGAACAGCAGCCTTCTTCAGACAACAGCAGCTGCCAAAGCAAGAACAAAAGCTAGCAAAACTCCCTGCAATACAGTACAAGCGTGTGCTAAACAAAACACATGCACAGCCTATAGTATTAACAAGCCTGGCATCATCTAATCTAGAAACAAAAATGCACTTAAAACAACTCAAACTACAGCAGATGCAGCATAACTCAGCCAGCTCCCCTCTACCCCAGACACAGCTATTCTTTGTGTACCTGGAAGTAACTAATGGAAAGGAGAAACATCTGAGGGCAATTCTGAGGAATAACAAACTCTCTACAGCTCAGGACAGCCATCAATTGACTTGAACAAGTTTCAGTTCTGACTCTGGATATAGTTTTCTTCATAATTTTATATTCCAGAAGTAGAGTAAGGTATTGAAGAACAAAAATCTTCAGTGAAGAGTATTTCTGTGCTCACAGAGTCTTTACTGCATGGGATCCTAAATTTTCACCCTCAAGGCTTTATAATAGGAGCTAGAGGGGCACTAATCCTACAGAATGGTGTGTGCATAGCTGCTCATAAGTGGAGCATTCCATGTGAAGTGCCAAAAATCAGTTCCTTACCTAGAATTTACTTCTGCAAGAGCTGGATGCTTATTGCTATTCCATACTCTGTAGTTGTGAGTATTTTTCCAGGCTACTACAAATGGTGTTCCAAAGTCTGACAACGTCTTCTCATTGTCTGAGAGATTAAAATAAAGATGTGAACTTGTAGCAATTCATTACAGTTGTAATACAAGAAAAATGACTTGCATTTTAAAGAAAAAATGAAATTTTCCAGACTCTCATCAAATCAAAGTCAAATGTTAGTACTAGAAACCTGACATTTCAGAAAAACGTTTTATTATTTTAAAGTGTCCCAAATACAAAAAGCCAAGACAAAACAAAACACTTAAAAATAAGAAAAGCTTGGTTTTGTTTTTTCTTAATTCATTTGTAAAGTTCTAAGTGAAGAGCTCAAGTGGAAAAAGAAGGTCATGCTAACATAGACCTCTTGACTTGCTCTCTGGGCAAAGACAGGAAGGGCAGAGAAAGGCCACACAGTAACTGAGAAAAAAAACATCCTTTACATTGATTTTGGTCAGATACACTAGGATTTGCTGTACTATGTTAATGCTCATTCAAATATAGTAAATTTCAAATCCACTCCAAAACCACAGTATGAGCTACTATGGAATCAACTTATCATAATAACCCATTTAAAATACAGAAGATTGTGGGAAATCATTTTAGAACCAGACAGTGAAGTAGCATGAATTTCATGAAAGCCTGACATTTCATTATCAAACTACTAATCATCTTAAAATATTAATGTTGCCAGACAAAGAATTTTTAATCTTCGAGACTTTAAAAATCACACTTTTGATCTCATTGCTTCTCAGAAACACCACAGAACAGACACTGAGTTACTTTATTGGTGTGAAAGGAGAATAATCACGAAGAGGCTGAAGTTAAGAGGGATAGTGGTTGGCAAACTTCCACAAATAAGCCACTGATTCTTTTGGCTGCATTCATGCACAAAAGGCTGCAACCCAGAGTACTCCCTCTGAGTTAAGGCAAAAAACGTTGAGCTCCAGAAAACACAAGCTGGTAAAACCCCTAGTTGACAATTAAGTGAATCCCTACTTAAGACCATAGCAGGAATGGAAAAGAGATGAGATACAGTAGTAAAACCTCCCAAAAAGAGACACTTAGAGACACTTAACTTCATGCCTCCTTGAATCCAATTAATTCCCCAAACTGAACTTCAGGTCTCAAACAACTCTGTAGGACACCCAAGTTTGTAAAAGTCTCATCATATACAGGGTTTCAGGAACTTCTACTTATAACGAAAGCTTAAATAAATCAAGGAGAAACAGTTGGAGAAGAAACAGGTCTGTAAGACTGTGAGGAATGAGTAATAAGCTTGTTAAGGAATACCAAAGATAGACAAGGACAACCAAAAAAAGGTAGCATAAAATGAAACTTTAGGCAGAGGGAGATCCAATGACAGGCCACACATGTAAGGCAACAGAACAAATACTTTTTTACACCCACCCTCATCTCAATTCCTAGAAAAGGTCTTGTCTAGGGAATCTTTTCTACCTGGTTGCAGCACAGCAGCAAGCAGCGCGTGAAGATAAGCACTGAACTGAGCCCTGATCCACTCATCTCCTCCTTCCCATCCAGTGCCATCAAGGAAAACATCATCTCTGTTCTCAGTTACATGCTTCACCAAGTAATCTGCAAATCTTAGGTCAGCCGTTGTAGGGTTCAGGATCTTACGGAGCTCTGGATCATGGATTTGTACATGAGCATCTTCTATCTATACAAAATAATTCCAAGGGTAAAAATTTATCTAAATAAAACTGCTCAAATGTACTACTACATATTGCTACTGACAAGCAGCTACCTAAATCTGAATGCAACAGTCTCAAGAAATATCAAAAAGAAATCCTGAGTGAAAAGTTCTCAGCATCAGCTACTACTCTGACACAACTCGAACCTCATCATCAACCAGGCAGAGTTAAAAGCTGCGCATTTGAAAGGATTTGGCAAGAGAAAATTGGTGTTCACGTGCGTTTTCTAGGAGGCTCTTTTGGACTTTCACTTCAATTTATGAAGTTCACTACCGATATGTAGCTATCTTAGGCTGATTATATAGCTGTACACACTTACTAGAACAGAGTGCTTTCTGAGACACTGTTTTTAACATGTCAATTATATCACGAGGAAGTCATCATTAACATGCTTTATTCTCCAACTGTATGTTTCTCAGCTGAAAGCACTCACTTTTGAAGACCTTAATCCAAAGCCATGAAAAAGATTAAAAAGCTTGTGACATGACAAGTAAAATTACACCTTAATTACAGCTTAAAGCTTTGTCCTACCCCAAAAACTGATGCAAACGGAATACACTTATGCATTTAAGAATTTATTTCATGGAGAAGTAATTAAATATTTCAGTGATGAACCCAAAACAATACATTCAAAATGCAACCTCTTTTTCCCCTCCCTTCCAGTCCACGAAGTTCAAATGCAAAGATTCATACTTCCACAATTGCGTCGCTCAGGTGTTTTTGCTGACGGAACAGGATGTTGGTGGCTCCCGCAACAAAGCCGCGGACTGTTACATCCGACAGGAGATGATGCTGCTGCAGCGCCATGTATGGCAAGCAAAGGTATCCCTAAAGCAACAGAGATGTTAGAGGATTAACATAAGCCCCCTCTCCTCTAAGAAAAACCAAAACACTGTATTCAGAGTTTTGTCCCTACCAAAAGTTAGCACGTTTCACACAGAATGAACAACACTGGTTACTCTGGTTACTACAATTTCAGTTGCAGTTATTTGTTGTTTTGCCGTGTTTTATCTGCAAAGCAAAAGAACCAAATTCTACATAAATTGGGAGTTCCAAGAGGTTGTGTTGCCTTCCAGCGTCAGGACTGAAATACAACGTGAATTCACAAAAATCAAGTGTTTATAAGGTAACAGAATAAGTAATACGCATCAATAGTGAGTTCTCAGGGCAGTTCAGAGACAGCGAGTCAGCAGATATGAAGATGCATCTCTCCATTTGCACACCATGAGGTCTTTTGACATGCCTCAAGTTTACAATGCAGGAGAGCTAGAAAAATACAGGACTGATATCCACATTTGGTAGATGGACATTTCTAAGTTCTAGAGATAGCAACACTTTCTGATGAGCACATGCATGCTTTAAAAGAGAGTAGTACAGAAAGCAATGCACTGTGCTCCTCAAACACTCCATGCTTACATTAATCTAGCGTCCCACACTCAAATCAAAAACAACAACACAAAACCACAAAACATTTTGAAAGGAGTATCATAAGGCTTTGAGGTAAGGTATTTGACAAGCACTGAGAAACAGCTGTACTTATTGTATTTTTAGTTTTAAATATAGGAACAGCATAACAGTAAGACTAATACTCAAGCCTAATTCCAGCTGTTCATTTGCATAAAGCACACCACAGTTTATTCACTAGCAGAAGCCCAGAAAAGCAAATGGCATACTGGAAAGAAACAAAGAGCACATGTACTTTATTAATCACAGTGCATAGTAATTGGAAACATATGGTAGAAAGGAGCACTATTCCCTTTTGTCATATTGAACACAGGGATAGCTTTCCAGATGACAAGCACTTATCGGCTGAAAGCAAATGCAGCCTGTGTCGAAGGAACAACAGTGCTTTGAGATGGAATCACCAACCTTAAATAGAAAAAAACAAAAACAAAAAACCACAGCTTAAGCTGGTAAAGGAAGGGCTAATTGTTGGATACATAAGTAGCAGAGTGCTAAAAATGTCACTATTTTAAAGATCAAGTGTAATTTCCCAAAACTCCCATTTCTCTGTAGATCTAACAATGTTTATTTCTGTGCCGTTGTTCTTTTTTTTTATTTTAAATAAAAAAATTGAAATGAGTTTTAGTTCTTACAGAACTGCTACTGAAGAAACAAGTATCATAACCTATTTTTCCCTATGCTCTGGTGCATTTGGATATGTTATTGCATCATCTGGCAAAGTTTCCTCCTATTCAAATTTGTTTTGAATGAGATGAGAGCTCCAAAAGAGATTCAAGCGTTCCAGTAAGTGGTTAAACTATAACTTATAATCATATTTTTCTGGTAATTTTGAGATGTAGAGCCACTTCTAAACAGAAGTCACTTCTGTGACTTCTTTAGAGCCACTTCTAAACAGAATTACTCTGAATGAACTCAGATGAAAAGTGCCTCTGTGAAATAGAAGCTAAACCAACAACTTCTTTAAGGTCATTTACTTTTCCATTTTATGAGCTTAGTAGCAAGCTAGTTTGCACACTTAGGCCTCTTTATCAATTATTTGATTCTTGCTTTCAATCTCGTTCTTCAACAGGCCTAAACTAAATACAAATTACAGGCTATTCTTTTGATTAGACAGACCATGAAGACAAACACCAGACTGTACATCTGTGCTAAAAAACTATTTCTAACAGTGACAGGGAAGATGACATTTGAGCCGCTCACTCGGACCCATTTAGTGTACTCTTTCCAACGAAAGGTATTTCAAGAAGCTCAAATATCATTGTCAAATACAACATTCTGCAAGAAGCGTCTACAAAAGAAGAAATGCCACTTTGAACCTCTCAACCTCCAGGAAATAGATCTGACTCTTCTGCTTTCTGGGCAAGTGCTCACCTAAAGGGTTATTACATTAAAAAAAATAAAAAAAGGTATCATATCACTTCTTTTGCTGACAAAATCATCTTTAAAAGGGAGGCATTTTCTCCATTTTATACAGAGAACCAGCTCTGGTAGATACATTGCTTGTTATTGAACAATGCCCATCAAAGCCTGTACAGGAACTCTGGGATACGTGGAGTTCAGTTAGGCATTTTTTAGTAAAAGCTTGAAGCTGAGCAGCTCAGCACTATGCACGGGGAAAAAGTCACAGACAACCAGGTAGTGTTATATAAGAAAGGGGGGAAAATATATATATACATAAGAGAAGAAAAATGAGCTTAGATGGGAGCTAAGATAGCTTTCAGAAACTTAGTTTGGATTAAGGTATTTAAATACTTAAGTGCTCTGATCTTGACCCATTCAGATTAGATCAACAATTCTTCAGAGTAAAAGAAAACAGCAGTTACTGACAGATACCGTTCATTAACCATGCTGGGTCTAGAGGTTACCATCACACAGAACTGCAAACAGTACAGAAGTATATGTATGAAAGGGAAATGTATGTGCATGTGTGCATACCCCTCAGACACACAAGAGCTCTTTCCATCTGCCTACAAACACAGTCACTTGTCAGAGGCTGTACTTACGTGTTTTATAGTACCCTACTGTCCATTTGGAGCTGGGTAACGAAAATTATTAGCCACTTCTGAAAAACAGAAGTCTTTATGAGTTACCTGGTATTATGAACAACCTGTTTACCTTTGTAAAAATAGCCAACGGCATACCATACTGGTCCTCTTCCAACCCAGATACGAGTCCTGGAACAAGCACCGCGTGTCCTGAATTTGCCTGGGGCTGCACAGTGATTGGAAGGGTTTCTGGACTCCTGCATTCACTTGGCAGATTTTCAGCCTGTTCTGATGCTGCATTTTCGCATACTCCTTCTTTCAAATTAGACTCCTCCAAAATGCTGGGATCTAAGGTCTCCCATTCACTTTCAGAGGACTCTGGAGAAGTGCGGGAAGGAACTTTCAAGTGCTGCACAGTACTATTGGAGAATCGAGCTCCGTTGCAAATCTTCTCTGACTGGGAGAAAGGCACGTTTGTGTTTTGACCTCCCAGCGAATGGTTTCCTGCCATCTTCCTGCCTCCCTTGCCCACTCCCAAGTTTGTAGCAGCAGCAGACACAGAGTCATCTAACCGTGGTGTAATTTCTTGCAAGACAGCATCCTCCGATATGCTCTTTCTTGGTCTATACTGTGAGCAGTCAGTAAGACCATGTTCAATCATACCTGGAAAGTGACAGGACCCATGGAAATTAGCATTTCAATATAAATTTAAATAATTTTTGTTGAAGAAAATGAAGAAAAGTGCCCTTGTATGCATAGTGGAAATAATGTATTTTACAACAGTACTTGAAAAAACGACCAACCAACCTTTCTCCCCAAAAGAACCAACCCCAACTTTTCGCTTTGAGAAGACTGGTTACGAGTTAAGAATTAGTAAGAATTAATTAAGGGGTTGTCTGTTTTGTTTTCAGAAGCACATGCAGAAGGAATTTTTGATTTTTAAGGAACTTGCAGGAATGTATAACTAATTCAGAGTCCCATTTATGTTACTCACAGGCAGTACAGAAGATCCAGTAGCTCCAATATGTAATCCACAGAGTGCATATAATGTTGGGATACATGCCCACAATACATACACATGCATACAAGTTAAGACATTTTTCAGTCAATATATCAATGTAACTATTGCTGCATAAGTTGTTCCCACAAGAAACACTACAGGCAACTTTTTAATATGGTTTCTGGTGGTAACTGAGAAGTCCAAATTTCTCTCCTTACCAGGAAATAGCGACAAGACTGTCATCAGAGCTCCCACCAATCTATTTACCGGAGAAATATAAAACAGCACCTGGGAAGGCAAGAAGGAAAAAAACAGGAGAAGAGGGCAAGAGAGGAGAAGGGAAGTAGGGAGGAAATAAAAATTAAAATAAAAAATTACACTTAAATATGACAAAGAACAGCTGCAAACTGATCAAGGAATTTATTTATTTTAAAAAGGAAGTCTGCTCACCCACAAAAGCTCTTACAACTGTTCATATTTAATATTTAAATATGTATAGTGTGTTTTTTTATACTACAAAATACATGTTATATATATGTGCCTGTGTGCATAATATATATCACTAGTCATTCAGTCAAGATTTTTTTTGATTGAATGCTTTTTTGGATCCAGCATGTGGATTGGATCAATTTTACAAGAAAGGAAAAATCTGACTAAACAACTGACAAGAAGTTATTCCCAGCACTCTGCATCAGTTGTTGTTAATTTGTAGTACATTAAAGTGTCTCTGTTATAAATCAAAGAGACCAAATAATCTCCATTCCAGAATTCTAACAAAAATCTACACTGGAAAAAAAATCCCTTCTAAGAAAATATATTAAAGATACGCAGATAAGCAGAAAGCAGGATAAATGCAGCATACATTATTAGAGATATTTTCCTATGATAAAAAAATGAGTTTATGGAAACAGAAAACATGATTGTTTTTCCATGTTATGCCTTAAGTGCTTTACTGAAGTATCAATCTCCTTAATTAAATTACAGAGACTGGGAAGAGTAAATTAGTTAAGAATTCAAATGGGGGATGTAAAAGGCTAGCAGTGAAAGAAGAAACACAAGGATGACTGAATGGTACTACTGAAGTTCCTCCAAGGGAGGAACAAAAAAAAAAAAAAAAGAAAAAAGGGAAGAATAAACAAATGGGTCTTGCTTAATAATGACATTTTTACACTTTCAGTGAAAAAGAAGAACAAGTAAAGCAAACATATAAGCATTGGAAGGAATTTGCAGGCCAGTTTTATAGGTGCATAACGAAATTAAAAGTGCAAGTTTGTGGACATAGCATTAATAAAAGACTTCTGCTGTAAGCTCAGAAGTCACTTCAGAAGTGACTGATGAGTAACTTAAGATGCACATGCACATCTACAAGCTACTGGTTGATGGAACAAATTAAAAGACCTGTGCAGTCCTAAACACATACCAAATGTCAATGGTCCCTCAGCTGGAAACAGATTACGTGTATTACCCTGTACAACCATTTCTCTCCACCCTCCGTGTTCAAGAGAGGTGAACTCAAACTCCAACAACCACAGGAAAAAAGCATGATGGGAAGAACAAGCAGATCAGCTGCAGAAAGGATTTCTGCTGATACCAGTAGGAATTAAGTCTAAATTCTTTTAAGATGCTGGTCAGTCCAAAAAATACAGGATGCAATAGCAGGGAACAGGACCCCCGCGATACCTCTTGTACTTTTAGATTCTCACATACCATGTATTCCTCATTATTTCTGTAGGCTTAAAAGTAGGTTTTGCTCAGTCTATAAAGAAGTACTTTGATTTCAAGAAACTTATTCAAAATTTAGCTTTTAGTTTGGGTTGGACTGCTTACTTAAGCCAAGCACTTTCGTGTATTTGTTCCACCAAGCAGTCCCCCTGCCATCTTTCCATCTGCATGGGTGCACGCTTTCTTACTTCTCCTACGTTATATGGCCTACAACATTTACATCGGCAAACTGTGTGGTCCTGGCAGCAGAAAAATCAAACAATCACCATCTGGAAGTAGTCTTCCAGCCTCATAACAGCTGAGAGGTGAAAAAAAAAATCCCTTTAGTCTGTGGAAAAGCATCAACTAAATTGCTAGGGATTAAAGAAAATCAGTCTGTGGCAGTGAGGCATTTTTCAGCTCAAGGAAAATTGGCATTACTTGATTACTTGTGGCTTCTTGCGTATTATATTTAAGGTCTTTGAACATACAGACTTCCACAGTTATTCTTGAACCTTAATATCTGCCAGAAAACAGGCAGCAACAGAAAACCCAAACTCTTCCTTTTGAACTTGGAAGTGTTGTCATGCTGTTGGAGCTTAGGGAGGAAAGAAAAAAACAACAACCCCCACAAAAATCTCACAGGTTTATTCAGTAAGTATCCACTTATTTTCAAAACAATTTCATGTTTGAGTCACATGAACATGCTTGGGAAAGCCTCCCTCCTCTGCTCTTTCCGTGCATTTATGACTTGTTGTTTAAGCTTCAGAAAATAGCTCAGTAGAACTGATTTTCAAATCAGAAAATTGTAGCTCAGTGAAGTATTTTGCTTATGTATGCCCAAGTTCTGAACTGTCACAAAATAACAGCTTAAGCTTTTAAACAGATCAATAGAGAAGCTGGGTTTCTTCAGTGGGTTCACTGAAAAAAAAGTGAAATTTGGAGAACTGAAAGTTAAAATTTAAAGAACAAGACAAAAAAAATCTTCATCAATGTCTGGGAATTGATACATGCTCTTATCACTGAAAGTTCGTCTTCTGTTAATACCCCAAGACAAGAACACAAATGTGTGTACTATTTCAGATCTGCTTGTACATTTTGTAGATTACACTTAACTTGCTAAAGTGGCATCGTTTCTGAGGCAGCAAGAGACCCCGAAGAAAACACTGAGCACAGAATTCAACAGTTTATAGCAATACATGCTCTGACTTTACTCAGCATGATGTGACAAAAATGACTCCTCACTGTCCGTGCAATTCAGGTTTGAAAGACACTCCTTGCATTAGTTTTTTTTGGTATGCCTATTTAAAGGCCTGAATCAAAAATTCTACTTAACAAAATCTGTAAAGCTGTGTGCTCTTTTTTAGGTCTCAACACTTCCATCTGCTCCTTCACATAAATACCTATTTACACTCTGTGTTTCCCTTCTTATCTTTATAATACGTTAAGTTATTCTGCTCACATTTAATATTTTACTTCACAGCTATTAAGAGTATGGATATAACAATAGCAGAGGCAAATTTATACATAAACACACAACAGTTACTTCTAACATATTTTCCTAATTTATTCTTATATGCAAAATTGCTGGTACAACTCCAGATACTTTAGTTTAATTTAACTTTATTTTTCACTGGTACGTTCCCACATGTTTTCAAATAAAAGATATTCAACTACATTTCCAATTCAACTATCTGCTTCAGATAAAAATTATACCTTTTTCTCTAGAAGAATCAATTTAAAAAGGATCAAGACCTGGAAAAAAAAAACACAAAGGAAAAACATGGTAAATGAAGCTGTACCATTTACCAAAATTACTGTGCAAGCTTAATCCTGTTCAAAATTTCATGTTATTCACTTCCTAACTTTCATGTTATTCACTTCCTAACTATCAAATGACCAGATATATCTGACTAGTCAATGAGTATCAGAACACTGTTTTTCTCCACCTGAGCACTCTTTAAAATGGCATCTGAGAAGCACAAACGAAAGACTGCACAAACAGGAATTGTAATTTGAATCATATAAGGTTTATAAAGAACGAACATACTGTATCATTCCACAATTTTAAAGAGCAGTAAATCACAAACACAGAAGAGTTACTTCACAGAATCACAGCAATTAATTGAGCCAAATACCAAGAATAGCATTCACTTTATCTAATTTTAGACATCTACAGACAAGACATCTAGATCAGAGGTGGCTGTCTAGGCTTTTTATACCCAAAGAAAAAAAAGAAAGGCATTTTGGGGCATGACTTGAAGACATCTAAAGAGAAACAAGAGTCTACTAAGAATGCACAAATAAACCACTAAATCCAGAATCTCATGTTTGTTTCCTTGATGCTTGTCAGTTAAAGATTTTAAATGCTATTTTTAACTTAGCTACAAACTCCATTTCAACAGTTATTAACAAAAAAGAGGGGTTCAATTACTTTCAGGATGTATGGTGCCAGGAGCTGCAAAAATTACACGGTAACAGGAAAAACGCTCCAAGCGCCTGCAATGACTTTAGCAGCATTCTTCCATCACATTCATTCGACAAGGAACAGGAAATAGAAACGACCATAATTGAGATACCACTTTGGGACATAACTAAAGAAGTGTAACAGAAACCTAAAACTCTCCCAGAAATACAGAAGACAGACAAAACTTCTCAGTCTGGAACTTACTTTTACTGAATGTCTGTAGGTGGAAGGGGAAGGAAAATCAGGAGACTGTAAGCAGAAATACTTAGGGAACAAACTTCTTACTTCTAGAGTATGTCTAGGTATGTCTAGACATGTTTATTTTTCATTCCCTCACAAAGCATTTTACTCTCAAAATAAGTGCTCTATTTTATAAATCTAGCAGAGAAAGCCTACCTTGTGTCTAAAATGAAGAACAAGATCCCGAGGAGACAGACCTGGGATACCAAAGAGACAGCAATTATTCCAGTTCCATGGCTAATAAATATATTAACTTTACTTTTTGTCACCATTTTGTGGGGGGAGAGGATACACTCATTATGCATTCTACATGAATGTGGTTATTTAATAGCAGAACTCATACCACATTCTCTCCTTTGTGTAGGATCAGTAACAAAACGAACAGTCACAATGAGTTGCTACTGTTGGCTGCAATGCGGTGTTATAGAAACACTGAAGTAAATCCTACATTGTATATTCAGAAAACACAGGTAAGAGTCAAAATCAAATAGAAGCTTTCCCAAATAACAGGCAGACAAAACGTCAAGTACTCCAAAACATCATCATCGGAAAAAATTAAGTACCGTTTCTCAAAAGCAGATGAGCAGTTACTTGTCAGACTGCCAGGTCAAGACACAACTCACAACTAATGTCCATTATGAAAGCAGAACTGCCTTTATTTGACATTTATTTAAATCCATTAATAAAGAAAAGCATAACAGAATACTGTGCAGGCACACTGACCTTTATGCTTAATCTGTTAATGCACATAAGCATATTAGCTCAGGAAGGGAATATGTTGATTAGGGTAACATTATCTCTGCTACTTGTACAGGAAAACCACTTACCAAGATAAACTTGTGACCCTTCTAGTGAAGTACCTCCCAAGGAACTATTCATATGATCATAAAGTTCCTGGAAAAATTAAAAAAGAAGCCAAAAAAAAAACAACCAAACAACAAAATGGAAGTTATTAGTCATTCTGGCACAAAATCCTGGATAAAAAAAAATCTTATTCAAGTCTTACTCCAGAAAGAACGTCAAATATTATTAATGGAGTCAATGGAAACACAGGCTGACTGTCATGCTTGTTCTTGTATTTCAATACAAATCAGAAAGTTGAGGGTCATGTAGTTCCTGTAATTTATTACAGGAGCTGAATAGCCGAATAACCTATGAAAACAGAATATCCGAGCAAACCACTAGTTCAAAACGCTGAAGTCTTTAGCCATGTACTGTAGGCCTTGCTCAACATGGGCAGTATTTAAAAGTTACCTTTAGAATTGAAATTTGCGAGAAGTCTTTCTCCTCAAAATACGCGTGGGTAATGAGCTGCAGCTTTGCCTGAAGTAACCCATACAACGGCTTGAAAGAAAAACAAACAAAAGCAAGTGAAAAAAAATGTAGTCCACTTTTTTAGAACTTAAGTTTTCTCCCATTCTCATCCTACAATACAGTCAACTAACTACTACACACAGTTCATCGGGGGGGGGGGGGGAGCATGGAAGGATCCAACTCCTTAGTTGCAACATCTTTCTCCTGTGCTCATTTTAAATAACTATTTTATTTCCATTTGCACATACTATACCATCACTGAGCATATTTCTGGAAAAGTATTTCCCTGCTTTATATATTGCTTATGCAGCTGTAATAGTAGCTTTTTCTTCACCTCTAATTGCAGAAAGAACTTTTATGCTCTGCCTGGAGAGCGGTAGCTTTTGCTAAGTAGCAGTACAAGGTGGCCCCTCAAAACAAAAGTATATCTGTGACTATCTTTCAGTTGTCAACAGCCACCCCCTTCAGTTATAACAATGATCTAACCTTGAAATCATATATATAAATATACATATGAAAGGAAGAATTAGTAGCACTTAATCAGCAGAAGTGCAAACAGATATCCCAGTCCCTGACAACAGGCAGCCACTTTTATAATTTCTCTTACAAGGAGGTACCAATTCAAGGCAGCTCATTCAAATGCCAAAGCCTTTTAATTAAATTTTACTTCACCATTTTGTTATCCTCTGCAATGATTTAAAAAAATCATATGTTTAAAGCTGGAAGTTCCAAACAAGAATATGGGAACCAAATGATTTTACTATGGTATTTAGAAGTGTTTTGAGAGTTAATCAAACATTCTTACCAGCTGACTGAGAACACAGACACTTTTCTGCACTGTTTCTCGTGTGATGTCTGCTTGCCGTACTTTTAATGCCTAAGAAATAGAAGTATTAGAGTATTATTACCCCCATACAACTTCAAGAACTCTTTCACAGGTCTAGTTGCCATATAGCCCCTTTTTTAAACAAAATCCTAAAACTGACTGCCTTCAGCAGTGGAATATCCAAATGACGTAACAGTGTCTTTACCTTTTACAAATGGTCAAAGCACTGACTGGTCAGAGTTGTGATCTCATCCCACTGTGCACAGCACAGATGCAAACACAGCTGTGATGACAGGCAGAGGACTGCTTAAAAGACACTGAATAAACAGCCCTAGAATAGCCCAGCTGTAGCCCTGGAAAAGGCAATGGCATTTTTAACTCAGGGTAATGTAACAGAACAGAAGCAGCCACAGTACACCACTTAACTCTTCTCTAATATTATCAGTGAAAATGGATCAGGCTGAAAAGTCTGTCAGTCAGGCCTGGAAGCAGTTTGCTCTACACTCAATTTTCTTTGAGCCATCCGTAAAATAAAAGAGGTAGAACAAACTCCATTCTCAGCCAGACCAAATGGTCCTACTACTCAACAGCACAACTATAAAGGGTGAGGGCAGAAATACAGCCAAGTGATTCACTCAACTGCACAAAACAGCAAGTGTGTGGACTGCAGCCCACACATCAGAAAGTCAGATGGAAAGAGCGCTGGAGCTGTTATATGTTATATGTCATATATGTTATATTCTACTTGTTCCAAGGGGTTCAATTTAAACATCTAATATATCTAAATCAGTTAGCAAACAGTATAAACTGGAATCAAGAACACAAAAAAGCCAAGTTTAAAATAATTGTATAGTTAAATAGAGCAAGACTTCAATCACAGAATACAGTGAGGACTGGCTGTAAACCACAGCGAGTGAACTCAAATCAACGTGGATTATGGTCAAAAGAAACAGAACTAAAATCTGCACATGGAAAATGTCTCCTATAGCATAAAGAGAAACTTCAAATGTAATCAAGGTGCACTTGAGACAGAGTACAAAATTTGCATCTTCTGAATGCAAGACTCATTCAGAGCTAAAAGCCACATGATATTCCAGGTTCTTGGCATTTCACTGGAAAAGGAGTGGTTTTGTTGTTTTAAAGAAATCTGTAGTAACACAATTGTAATTACATAGGTAATATTACTGCTGCTGCTTTTGAAAATGTGGGTACACTCCAGTAGCTCAAACACATCTTTCTTCAAAGTGTGATCAGATATACACTATAGCTCTCTTACCAGTTTTTCCAGCTTCCTGCTAAAAGTTCAGTATCAGTAAGCAGTTACAGATCTGCATATCTGCAGTGAAATTATTCAGATTGGAAAGTTACCTTTGCTTCAATCTGCCTATAGCAAGAGACACCATATACTGTAGTTCGATCCCCACATCTTGGTGGTAAATGGAAAAACACAGTATCTATGAAAAAAAAAAGTTTCTTAAGTCACTGTCAAGTGCTCATTATCTTTGTTCTCAGCATCACTTATTTATAAAAGGGTTACTGCTGAATATACTGGCATATGCATTTTCTGAGATTTCAAAAAAAGGAAAAAGTCATCTATAAAGCTATGCCTACACCCAAATTAGAGTTTCTAAATAGCACAATACTTCGTGTAAGAAGCTCTAGCTGTGCTAATATGGATATTCTGACAACAGCCTCACCTTTAGCCTAAGCTCCTTTATCAGCCCACTGACAGATGTTCAGAAGCAGATATTAACAGCACAGATACACCACTGAAACCAACAGGTATGCTGCTTTTCCAATTCGGTATGTAAGAGCAAAGGCAGGGCACTGTAAGACAGAACCCACAGAACTGGTGGGACTGGATGGCACAGCAGGCACGTGATGACATCAGGAAGCTGATTTTTTTTTCTTTCTATCTTCATTGCAATTAAGGAAGACATATACAGCTGAAAGGTTAGAGCTGCTGACACCCCTAACCCTGCCAAGGTAGATATTCATGTACAGCACCGCTATAGTAGCAAAAATGATTTGTGAACTCTAGCCTCACATAAATTTGTTTCCCCTGGGCAAGTGTGACATAAACAAAAAAAAAAATCCCTGTAAAATATGGCACAAGTGAGGGTTACAGCTTGAGATATATATAAATACACACTTGCTTCTAGTGACAAAAAACGTCGCTACGTCATAATTAAAAATACACATTATGATTGTTTGCCTTTCAAAATGTAGAATTAAATCTTTTTTGAAGGAAAATAAAAACATTTTACCCAGTCTGTAGTAAATGCAGAATAAACGATCACACATGCATTGAGTCCAATGGAAAGAAGGGTTCTATATGAAAAAATACTCCCTTGAATAAGTATAATTGCATTATGGAGCTCACATGGAGTCTCACTAAAAATTTAATACATTTCTTGCAGCACGCCATGCTCATTGCAAAAATATAACTGCCAGTGGGAGTTAACTGAAAACTCAGAAGGAAAGAGAGTTATTAACAATTACGTTTACTGCAATTTTATCTGAATCATATTTGCCAATTTCAAGTTCATGTGTATCCTTGCCTACAAAACACCAGGCTTTACAACCATTTTGTTGTCACCTCTGTTTTTCTTCCCCTTACCAAAACCCACACATTAATAAACTTTTAGTGCAACAATGAAACTGACCCAAGTTGAGCATTAACTTGGACAGTGCTGTGCGAAGAGGGAACAGGTAAGTGAGGCTACATACAATTTTCCTGGTTTTGAACATAGCCTACTGCTCATTGCATACTTAGCAATGCAGAAGAAGAACAAAAATAATGATTCAGAGCAGAGTCAGAGATACTCCTGTTGCTGCTGGGAAGGAGATTCTTTTGATATGAGGCCTCCTTTTCCAAAGGCCTCTGGAAGCTGGAGGATTAGAAAGCTAACTACATCAAGTTAAAAAAAAAATTAAAAAAAAATAATATTAAAAGTAACATTAAAGGGTCTGTTATTTTTCTGTTTTAAGTGACTTCCTTGTTTGCTGTAGTGCAGAAAGAATATGGAAACAACAAGCAAATAAGTGTCAAAGCGATGAACTAACTGCTGTCAAATAAACAAATAAATGCAATAATAAACAAATAATGCAATAAAACTGAAAAAAAAAAAAAAAGGAAAAAAACACCTGCAGTGACCTTGCTGGTAACTACATGGTGAAAGAGATGTTTTATCTTTCTATTCTGCTGACAAATCCACTGAAGGTCCTGCCTTTTATATTTGCTAGTTTTCAAAATATGCCTTGCTACAGACGCTGAATGGCTTGTAGGTCCTTCTAAGAATCACTGAATGTTAGTGGAAATAAAAAAAATAAATAATGATCAGATACGTTAGAAAGCTGACTTTTATAATTTCAATCTTCCCTTAGCTCAAAACTGGATTAGATTTTACTCGAGGGCTAATTCCTGACTCAGGTGGCTTCTTTAAGGAAAGCTGGTAGCCTTGTTTTGTGTTAGGACTACCCACAACTGACACGTAACCTTTAAACTGAATTTTTGACGTCTGATTTATTGACGTAGAAGATAAAATTTTATGTTTCTTCAGAATTTAAAGAGAAAAATCGATCATATTTATCAATCATTTTGCAGCGTAAACAAGTAGTGCAAGAAATCTAATAGCAAAAAGAATAGTTGATGAACTGTCCAGATATTTGCATTTTTATTTGCCTGCAGTAGAAGCAGGTAGGAGGCTTTTGCACATGCAACTTCCTCTCAAATTTCTTACCTTCCTGGTAGTTGTGAGCGCCATCTGGCAAGGCAAGAAATGGCAAGTATTTCCACTCCTCTGGTAAGCCGTGGCTGTCGTGCCCTTCTCCAGGCATTAGAGGAGGGTAGGAGAATTCAACCTAAACAAACAAACCGAACAAAATAGGAAGCAAAGAGAGAACAGATTATTGTTACCAAACAAGCAAGCCTCTGTAGTTCAGCCTGGCATTTTTTCTCTTTAGCAATGGTATGAAACAGCTTTTCTTCCTACTAGCATTCCTCCTCTTCCTTCCAAGCACCCTTGGACTGACTCATGTGCAGTCTAACTGACAGGCCTGGGGCAGATTTGGCTCCCACAGCTCTCTATCCAACCCAGTGCCTTTTCCTCAGGAGAAATACAGAGCAGATGTTCAAGTAGAAGACGTCACCCCAGCAGCTGCCTACCTTCTCCCCTCTGCACACAGCCAGCAGCGCAAGGCTGCACCTGTGGTACCAGCAGAGGTCATTGCTGGGGCGCACATGTTCTCAGATCAGATCTGGCTTCTCGCCGCCCCAAGTGCTCATGGCTAGGCAATGCTCTAGCACATGCAAGCCTGTGTGGATACTGAATTAACCTCAGAAGCTATACCGACAGCAAAAGACTGTTTTTAAATATTTTTACGCCCTGGACTGTAATCATGCAGCAAGTTCTATGCATTTACTACAAGCGCATCTTTTTTCTTTCCAAGAAATCCTGCCTCTCAATTTCACCTTTCAGTTGTCTACCGTTTACCTTGTTTTCTCAGAAATTCTCTGTTACTTGCACCATAATATTTATCTGTCACAGATCCTGAAAACCAGCATCTTCACTATCATCCTTTCATTTTCTTTCCCTCTAGGTAAACTTCTGGGTTTCCAGCCACTTTCAACAAGTCTCTTTTTCCAGACATACATTTCTTAAATCACTGAACACAAGTTGAGGCACAAATTTATCAGCAGAAGAAACTGCAGCAGGATACAACTCCTCTTGGAAGACATTTGGCTAAAAACTAGTTGGCTCTAGAATGCATAAGTGGAAATTTTTAACTAATAGGAAATAAAAAGCATGCCAAGACAAACACACAAAATCTTAACATTGGATGACGATATTATTATTATTATTATTTATTTTTTTATGATTTATGAATAGCGTATAAGATGTGGGTACTGAAGAAATGGGAAACAAATCAAGAAAAGTGAAATTTTTCACCTTACCACACGGTGTCACTCTTTCTACAATCGTTGCCAACTGGCTCCCGTGTCCTTTTGACAGCATGAAATTAGCTGAAAAACTTTCTCCCGTTTGATCTAGCTCGCAGCATGCTGTCAGCACCTCAGGTGCTATCAGGTACTCCCAGCAGTGGGGATTTCTGCAGGCTCTGACAGCTCCAAACTGAACATGCATTAATGAGACCAGCGATAACCTTGGTTTACATCAGTCTGCTTCTTCTGCGTTTTAATGGAGTGATTTCTGTATTAACGTGGGTATAGGTGAGAGGGGATCACAAGACTCAGACAAAGTGTATTTAAGATCGCTTAAGCACCTTTAAATTGTCTATTTTATATAGAGATTTTATGATAGACCTGGTTTCTATGATGTACTGCTCCTCCCCCTCCCCAAAAGGACCCACATAGGGAGTACCCCCTTCCTAAGGAGGGATCCCATTTGTGTAGTTTAGCAGCTTGCAGAAGCACTGCCCCTTGCCACAGACGCTGAGAGGGTGCAAGAAGCAGAGGCAGATGGCTGTAAGAAGAAACATGACAATCCGACAGCAAAGACAGTATCCAGTCCCCTGGAGAACTTCTTTCTACCAGCTTCAGAGTTCCCAGTGGGTTCATTTCAAAGCTGTTAAGTCAAACTTTTTTGCTAGTAGTCACTGCAGGTGGGATTCATGTCATCTAACTACATATCAAACAGCAAGAACTCCAAGCCAGCTTTCCTAAGCACTCCACACAAAGAAAACAGACACCTGCTGAGGGTGATTCATCTGATCTGTTTCTTTCCATCAGCTCCAAAGAGAGATGGTTCAGACTTAAAGGTCTAACTTGCAGATGACTGAATTAATGCAGATTAAAATCACCCTAACTCTTCCTTATCACCTAGACATCCTGCTTGACTTCTACGGCTCAATTTACAGAACGGCATCAGCTCAGGTTAGGATTTTTTATTTTATTTTGCATTAAAATCACACAAATCACAGAATCACAGAATTTCTAGGTTGGAAGAGACCTCAAGATCATCGAGTCCAACCTCTAACCTAACACTAACAGTCCCCACTAAACCATATCCCTAAGCTCTACATCTAAACGTCTTTTGAAGACTTCCAGGGATGGTGACTCCACCACCTCCCTGGGCAGCCCGTTCCAGTGCCTCACAACCCTCTCAGTAAAGAAATTCTTCCTAACATCTAACCTAAAACTCCCCTGGCATAACTTTAGCCCATTCCCCCTCGTCCTGTCACCAGGCACATGGGAGAACAGGCCAACCCCCACCTCTCTACAGCCTCCTTTAATGTACTTATACAGAGCAATAAGGTCACCCCTGAGCCTCAGTTCTACCACTTCTGAATTTATGAACTGAAACCTCACTAAAATGCATTCTCAGCCTGTGCGTGTAAACTGCTTGATACAGAATTTGTAGCTACGGCGACTACACAAAACCCAGAACAGTTATTTTTCATCACCTCTTTCACTTTAAACCCAAGAACAACCATGGTGGGGGTGGGAGAGGACCACAGAAGGGACCTTTCTCACAGTTCTTTCCTCCCTTCACAGAATGAAGACAGATGAGCTCATTTTTCATTTAATTGAAACAGCAAAGCTCTAGCTAAATCTACCTACAGGTATATGCATAAACAAGCACTTAATTTCCCTGGCTGGCATCAATACATAGATGCATTACAAGATTTGCCTGCAAATAAAAGAAAAAGTCTTTGTAATAAAGCTCCATATTCAATAGGCACAAATACATACGCAGGTTTTTTGAGTTGATTGCCTGAGAAGATTTTACAGGCTTTTATCCCCTCAAGTGAATTGAAAAAGTCTCCTCAAAGTTAAATTTGTATAAAAATTTGAACTCCTCAGAGACTTCAGAAGAAGCAATATAAAACATGAACCCAAATCTCTACTCATTTCTTCACTCTTCCAAGTGTCAGGGGTCTTCATTACAGCTGGAAATATTGATTATGCCTGCCAGGGGGTTTTGATGGCAATGCTTTCCGCCTGCTCCAATTGTCACCTTCTGTATGCAGACTGCCAACGATGGATTTCAGAACAAAAATCAATACATTATACTGTGTCATGATTGAGTGGAGAAATAAATAACTGCACTAAGCAAAGTATTTCAGCTTCTGTGGATTACCAAGCTAAAATAAAATACAAGAAAAACCTAACCTGAAGGACAATCAAGTTTCTGAAAGTGACATTTGTATCTTTCTGTAATTCTGCTACCTTTATTAACCTTTTGTATGTAGTTTGTATTGTATCTAACAGTTTGGATGCAAATAGATGATCTTTTCTTGTTTGGGGTACACAGAAAAAAAAAAGATTAGGCAATCTGTTTTGGTTCCCCCTCTTTAAATTCACTACACGTTCACTATCTTGCATTATTCATGGAAATAATAGATGAGCGCAGGGAAGGCAAATTGTATTTCTGTTATGTTTAGAAACTAAGATGAGTTTTTCTTTGAACAAATGCACTGATATTGTCTTGTACTAGATTATGAGTACACAGTCAGAAGAGAGGCTAAAATTTTAGTGTGATAAAAGAGGAATTTCCAAAACATAACCGCACGTCCACCTGTTACACTCATACATTAGCGAGGTAGCCTCCGCTGGTTTTCAGTGAACTTTATATTCAGGTCAGGTTGTTTTCCCTCCCTGCAAAGTGTTAAGTGTTAGCAATAACAGCATGAGTTATATCTTCAATGAACATTAACCAGCAATAACTCAAAGCGCTGATAAGTTACCACAAACTGCAGACTTCCCATGCTCTCCAGTCAGACTGCTGTTCCGTTTGGGCTGCTCCATTTACAACGTATCCCTTCCTACTCACTGCCACAATACGTGTTCCCCTCTTCAAATGAGACATTTTGAAAGATCTCTCTTGAGACTAGAAATGAGAAAATCCTGATCCCTAATAAGTTTTCACGTTGTATGAGTCAGCAACGTGCTCTTGTGGTCAAGAAGGCCAAAGGTATCCTGGGACTGGAGCAGCTGTTGTACAAGGACAGGCTGAGAGAGCTGGGCCTGTTCAGCCTGGAAAAGTGAAGGCTGAGGGGAGACCTCATCAATGTGTACAAGTATCTGAGGGAAGAGTGTGGAGAGGGATGGAGCCGGTCTCTTTTCAGTAGTGCCCAGCGACAGTACGAGAGGCAACAGGCATGAACTGAAGCACAGCTGGTTCTGGCTCAATACAAGGGAGCACGTCTTTACTGTGAGGGTGACAGAGCACTGGCACAGGTTGCCCAGAGAGGTTGTGGAGTCTCCTTCTATGGAAATACTCAAAACCCGCCTGGATGCCATCCTCAGCAATGTTCTGTAGGTGATCCTGCTCAGCAGGGGCATTGGACCAGCTGATCTTCAGAGGTCCCTTCCAACCTTGGCCATTCTGTGGTTCTGCCAAGTTTTTCCATTACTTCAAGAGGGAGAAGATTTAAGTTCGTATCTCCACAAAAATCTGAAATATTTTAAATGGTAGTGCGAAATGAAAAAATGCAACGAAAACTAAACAAAAAAATGCTTTTGCTGAGTTGCAGAACTTAAATTTACAGTGAGCGAACCTAGTCCATTCTAGGAAAAAAATTGCTTTGATGATCTCTCCATTGCTTGTACTGCATCAACAGGTAGAACAATTGTTTCATACGAAGAGAAGGAGACTGGCAAAAAGACTAATTACAGTCATAAATAATTTCAATTCATGTCCAGGACTGCAGCTCTTCAGATCTCACTTAAGCGGAAAAAGAGCAAGTAAAAGGATGTTGAATGTTGAGGATACTGCTAACCAGGAGTGACAAAAACAAACAAAACCAACCACACACAACAAAACAACAAATTAAAATGACACATGAGAATTGATCCCTCGTTTCAAATAAGCCAGTATTTGAAAGCTGGGATTTTTGAA